AAGGAATTATTTATCGTTCCAAACGGAGTGTTCACTTGACCATGAGTGCAAGTGTAGTGTTTTTGTATACCTCATTCAATTCAGTGATTACATTATCGCGATCGTGTGCTGTTCTGGTGTTTCGTGTTGTTTGATCAAAGCTTCGCATTTTTCACGCTGGTGAGTAAAGAGAAATTCTTTCAAGTTTTCCTCATATTTTCATCTTTACTTTTAACTTCATTACCTTATATGTTTTCACAATCACAAAGGTACCGTTTGTTGAATATTTTCCGATGAAGTAATACTTTCTTCTGAATTTCGTACTTTCCGTTCACAATGGTATTTTTTCAGAAGAAAATAATGCGGAAAGAGCAAACCAAAAGAAAATAAAACGATTCGAGATTATTTCATGAAAACATATTTTTTGCCTATACAGGGTGTATCAGATTTAAATTTACATAAATCGATGTGTCTACAATCTTTTATAACTGTGATACAGAACGTACCTAATCATGATTTTGGCAAAATCTTTATCTGGCCATAGTGTATGATCGATTCATATTCGATAGGTATATTCATCTTATATTACTACTTTTCAACAAGGTGCATCCAATTTGACTATTTTTTCAACATTATTTCTCGAAATTGAACTTTTGTTGAACTCCTAATTCAAAGTCCAATTTTCTCACAAAAAAATAATCAGTCCTCAAAGTTCAACTTCATTAGAGTCAAATTAGGTGAACTATCGATAGTTGTCATTCCATAGAATAATTGTTAATTATATATTTTCAAGTGCTCGTTACATTTTCAGAAATTCAAAAAAGAATGATAGTTTGAAAGTTATACATGAAATTCTTTTTTTTTAATCCTACTTTCAAGGTCAATATCTCCGAAACGAAGCGCGATATACTTTTTTTTATAAGGAGTACCAACATTAATTTGGCTCCTATCAGTCCTATCATTTACAACAGTACCTTTCTGGACATCCTGTATAGTTTTCAAATTTTTCCTAAAACCATTTTTCACTCATTTGGGATTGAATCAAAGTTGCCAATAACATTTGGATAGCTGTGGACACAACAGAAATGCCATGGAAACAAAACAGGCATTTTTTGACACCTCTCTGTCGGTCTTTGAATTGAAATGGGTTATTCAGCAGTGGAAAAATACGAGATAGTATAATTGTTATATTATGAAAATATTGCGGAAACTTCGGTAATGCAGCAAGAATTTAGTCTAAATCGAATTTCTCTTCCAGATTAACAAGCAAACAGACAGAAAGCAAAGTGTTTGATACTTGCCACTAAGTCGGAGAAAACCATCCAGTCAAGGCGAACCGAACAAAAGATCCGCAAAGAGAACTGACCAGAGTGAATTTTTGAAAATTCAGATCCTCATATTCGTACGGAAGGCGATATATTGATTTCCTGTCCAGATTCATTCTCAAGCAAACAGATAGACAGATATTCACCTTTATGTCTCTATGGAAACACGACAGGTACCCTTACGAGGGGAGAGTATCAACTCGGCGTTTATAAACCCTCTCTGCAAAGGAGGTCGGCGCATGGTGGGTTAGGTATATACAGTGATTTTCATTGCAGAGAAAATCGTTGTTTATCTGCCTACCTCGTCTGCATTGAGAGAGTAGATGAATTGATGATTAATCATAAAAATATATCGCGTTTTAGTTACGAATGTATTCTATGTACGTGTCACGATTCAAATTTCAAATTGATACTCAGTTTTAGATCCGAGCAGCACACTGTTTGGCATTCATGGTCCTTATTATATTTCACGAAATTTGAAATGTAGCACTACTGGGAAAACCACTATTCGGAAGGAGAGCGAATATGAAGCAATCAAGTTACGGTTGTTGGAAATATTATTCAGGTATACATCAGTTTCAATTCTCATGGACTTTCTGATATGTGATATTTAGTTGCAGATCCAAAAAGAAAAGTGTTTGATACTTGGCAATAAATTGGAGAAAACCATCTAGTCAAGACGAACCGAATAGAAAATCCGCAAAGAGAACTGACCAGAGTATACTTTTCAGAATTCTGATCCTTATATTCGTACGGAAGGCGATATATTGAATTCCTTTCCAGATTCTCAAGCAAACAGATAGACAGATATTCACCCTTATGTCTCTATGGAAACACTACAGGTACCCTTACGAGGGGAGAGTATCAACTCGGCGTTTATAAACCCTCTCTGCAAAGGAGGTCGGCGCATGGTGGGTTAGGTATATACAGTGTTTTTCATTGCAGAGAAAATCGTTGTTTATCTGCCTACCTCGTCTGCATTGAGAGAGTTGATGAATAATCATAAAAATATATCGCGTTTTCGTTACGAATGTTAAAAACAATATTTACGATTCGAATTTCTAATTGATGCTTAGTTTTAGATCCGAGCAGCACATTGTTTGACATTCATGTTCCTCATTATAACCCACAACATTGAAAATGTGGAAGATGTTTACTGGGAAAACCACTTTTCGGAATGGGAGCGAATATGAAGCAATCCAGTTACGGTTGTTGGAAATATTATTCAGGTATGTTTCAGATTCAACATCAGTTTTAATTCTCATAGACTTTCTGAAATGTGATATTTAGTTGCAGATCCGAAAAGAAAAGTGTTTGATACTTGGCAATAAATTGGAGAAAACCATCCAGTCAAGACGGACCGAATAGAAAATCCGCAAAGAGAACTGACCAGAGTATACTTTCCAGAATTCTGATCCTCATATTCATACGGAAGGCGATATATTGAATTCCTTTCCAGATTCTCAAGCAAACAGATAGACAGATATTCACCCTTATGTCTCTATGGAAACACTACAGGTACCCTTACGAGGGGAGAGTATCAACTCGGCGTTTATAAACCCTCTCTGCAAAGGAGGTCGGCGCATGGTGGGTTAGGTATATACAGTGTTTTTCATTGCAGAGAAAATCGTTGTTTATCTGCCTACCTCGTCTGCATTGAGAGAGTTGATGAATAATCATAAAAATATATCGCGTTTTCGTTACGAATGTTAAAAACAATATTTACGATTCGAATTTCTAATTGATGCTTAGTTTTAGATCCGAGCAGCACATTGTTTGACATTCATGTTCCTCATTATAACCCACAACATTGAAAATGTGGAAGATGTTTACTGGGAAAACCACTTTTCGGAATGGGAGCGAATATGAAGCAATCCAGTTACGGTTGTTGGAAATATTATTCAGGTATGTTTCAGATTCAACATCAGTTTTAATTCTCATAGACTTTCTGAAATGTGATATTTAGTTGCAGATCCGAAAAGAAAAGTGTTTGATACTTGGCAATAAATTGGAGAAAACCATCCAGTCAAGACGGACCGAATAGAAAATCCGCAAAGAGAACTGACCAGAGTATACTTTCCAGAATTCTGATCCTCATATTCATACGGAAGGCGATATATTGAATTCCTTTCCAGATTCTCAAGCAAACAGATAGACAGATATTCACCTTTATGTCTCTATGGAAACACGACAGGTACCCTTACGAGGGGAGAGTATCAACTCGGCGTTTATAAACCCTCTCTGCAAAGGAGGTCGGCGCATGGTGGGTTAGGTATATACAGTGTTTTTCATTGCAGAGAAAATCGTTGTTTATCTGCCTACCTCGTCTGCATTGAGAGAATTGATGAATAATCATAAAAATATATCGCCTTTCAGTTACGAATGTTGAAAATAATATTAAGACTTTATAGATTTATATTCTATGTACGTCTCATGATTCGAATTTCAAATTGATGTTTAGTTTTAGATCCGAGCAGCACATTGTTTGGCATTCATGTTCCTCATTATAACCCACAACATTGAAAATGTGGAAGATGTTTACTGGGAAAACCACTTTTCGGAATGGGAGCGAATATGAAGCAATCCAGTTACGGTTGTTGGAAATATTATTCAGGTATGTTTCAGATTCAACATCAGTTTTAATTCTCATGGAGAAAACCATCTAGTCAAGACGAACCGAATAGAAAATCCGCAAAGAGAACTGACCAGAGTATACTTTTCAGAATTCTGATCCTTATATTCGTACGGAAGGCGATATATTGAATTCCTTTCCAGATTCTCAAGCAAACAGATAGACAGATATTCACCTTTATGTCTCTATGGAAACACGACAGGTACCCTTACGAGGGGAGAGTATCAACTCGGCGTTTATAAACCCTCTCTGCAAAGGAGGTCGGCGCATGGTGGGTTAGGTATATACAGTGTTTTTCATTGAAGAGAAAATCGTTGTTTATCTGCCTACCTCGTCTGCATTGGGAGAGTTAATGAATTGATGAATAATCATAAAAATATATCGCATTTCAGTTACGAATGTTGAAAACAATATTCAGACTTTATAGATTTATTATATTCTATGTACGTCTCACGATTCAAATTTCAAATTGATGCTTAGTTTTAGATCCGAATATATGGTTCCATTTGAAATTCACGAAAAAAATTAAAAATTGTCTGATTTTTCAAACGATGCCATCCAGCGACCACCACAGGATTTAAATCGACTTGACTCGTGATTCATCTGGAAGAACTGAAAAATCCCTTCATAATGAGACCAAGATCGTTGAATTCTGTTACACCAAACCGTAGTAATGAGAGTATTTTCAAAGTTCTATTTATCCTTCCTTCCCTCTAGCTAACGCAAGTTTTTTTGATGGAAATGATTGGGAATCAACTCGAGAACATGAAAAAAGTGTTTTTGATATGTCTTGATATACCAAATTTTCATAAAAACCCATTTATTTAACTGGCCAATGCAATTACGCCCTCTAACAGCTGTCCTGGAAATTTCCAGATATTTCTCTTGGCCACTTTCATCATTCATATTTTTGTTCGAAACCTGTGCGGCAAATAGTTCCCGAGATACAGTCGGCGTCCTTTCTTAGTGGTAGACCCGGTACATTTAGGAACTCTAATAGTCGCCATGTGCTACCTGGGATATGGACCGTTTCGGGTAAAGTCGAATTCATGCGAAAACCTCACCTGTTCATCGACTTGACGATGGTGTTATAGTCGCTGGGCAGATTGGCCAGACCGTGGAACACCTGCCGCTTCCTGATGATCGTGTACACGAGATTAGCGTTGCCGTCGAACTGGTACTGGACGATGTTGTTGAAGATCTCCAGGAGGAAGAAGACCAGGTGGTGGTTGGAGGAGGACGAGAAGAGGAACCAGGGGGTGCTGAAGGCCTCGAGGAGATGAAGAAGCTTCGTGCTGGCCACCATCGACAGGGTTTTCAGGTAGGGGGACACTGAAAGAAATATGTAGTGGGAAAGTCAGACTTTTATTGCCTTATATCTCAATCGACATTGAAGAAAGTTGCAGTTTGCACATTACTGCGGCAATTTTTTATTAACAGAACTTCCACAGCCTTCCTTTGAAGACGGGGCGAAATTGAAAATGTTCACCTTTGAAGCGTTATTATACAGAGAAGTGCACAAAAAACGGCCAGGACTGTAACTTTTGAATTATTCGAGAGGGTTTTGAAAATTGGTGGGTAGCAAGTATACCAAATTGCTCATTAAATGATAAAACAATGTTTGTTCTATCACTTCCGGTTTTACTACTTTACTTCACTTTTTAAACTTACTGAAGAGTAATGCTACAGATTGAATTTCTTAGTGAAATATGATGACTCCATTAGGTGGCAGGTTTATACCTACCAGCAAGCAAATATCGGATACCGAAAAATAATATTCGCGGGAATCAATGTTACCAGGTGGCGCTCGGTTTTCATCGTTCCATGTCAAAGCCACGTCAAAACTGGGGGAAAACAAACTCAATCCTACCTCAATCCCATTACTCATTAGTGCCATTAGCTTGTGTACTGTGTACTGATAAGAGTGATACGTTTTTGAATTTCTTGACATTAATTGTCAATATTCGATCGAGAACGCTAATAATGTTCTTTTGGCAGATATTTTGGTCTATTTAGATGGAAAAAGCCAACCAGTAGTGGAAGAAGAAGCAGTTCTCCGTGCTAATCATGTGATTTTGTGTGAGGCAGAGGACTTCGACAAAAGGTACTTTGTCTACAAACTTCGACGATGAAATCTTCCCCACATGAAGTAAAATTGAAGTTGGGGTCCAGAGGATCTCCTGTAGAACAATGGATTTGTATTTGTTCATGCAAAGCAGGACAATCTGAGTATTGTAAACATGTTGTAGCTGTTCTTCTATATGTCAATTGATTTGCTCGTCATAATTAGTTTGAATTGTTTGAACTCCAATCTTCACCCGTTCACTGTTCACTAAACTAATAAAAATGCAAATACAGCTACAGCAAGCTGAATGCAACGTAGTCTATGCACTTTATCCATAGACGCCAGTTTGTTTTCCCCCAGTTTGAAGTTCGTATTATGTAATCTAGATGTCGCCCACTTCGTGAATCTCGCGAATAATAGGTGAATTGACGTTCCATCACTATCGAAAAGATCACTTCATATATAGGTAGCACTAGAAGATAATTAATTATCTTTATTATTATTCCCAAGAAACATACATGTTTATAGCAGGGAAAATTATGAAAGAGCAACTAAAAAAAAAACAAAAATTAGATAATCAGATAATCATTTTTAAATCATATACATAATACATATAATGTTGTTTCTTCTAGAATAAATATAATTTCTTGAATTGATTCAGGATGACATGAAGAGAATCAAAGACATAAGTATTTTTTCAGTTCTTTTTTGAATTTTTCAACACTTAATTTTTTCTTTAGTCTGGCAGGTAATTCATTATAGAGAATTGTTCCATTGTATAAAATAGATCTTTTACCCATATCTGATTTAATTTTGATGAGAGTTAACATATCTTTTTGTCTGGTTATGTGTTCGTGTTTATGACTATTGACTTCAAAATTCAGATTTGAATGTTTATAATTATATTTGACGAAATGGAGTTTATATCTAACAATTGCCTAGGTTTATAAAGATTTCTTGTTGGTTCCAAGTAATCTAGTTTGTATATACATTTAATAACTTTGTTTTGAAGGATTTTGATTGGCTTCATAATTGATAATCTAGCTATACCCCAAACTGAAATCAAGTATTGTAATTTTGAATGAACCAAGGAAAAATATATACATTTCAAGTATTTCAAAGTGATTTGGTGTCTGATCCTGTAGAGTACTCCGATTACTGGAGATATTTTCTTTCTGATCGATTCAATATGTTTGGACCATGACAAATGTTCATCACTTATTTGACATGCGAAGAGAACAATCCCCGAAAACCGACTCACCGTTCACCATGATGGTGAGCAAGCAGTCGAAGAGCGGCTGCAGCCTCTGGTGGCCAGTGGTGATGATCTTGTGGAAGACGACGATGACGAGGTCGGCGTGAGTGCCGCTAAAGACGGGGATGTCCATCGGTACGGTAGCTGTGTACGGCTTGTTCAAACGCACGCCGAAGTTCCTTTCGCCGGAGAGCAAAAGTAGGATGAACACTCCTATGTGCATCAGACCCACTCGCGCTGGAAACATCAATTAAGTTTTCGTTTTTTTCATTTGCTCATTATCAACTCAACCAGATGTATTTCGTGCAAAGTAATTTATTCAAATTTTTATTTTGGGTATAGACCGTCTTTGCCGAGAAGTTTTTCGTGCCGCGGCAGAAATACTCGCTAGGTACTGACTTCTTCCTTTAACTAGTGGCCGCATTCTGTTTCGTTTTTTCGTTATCTAATTTTTTAAAGTTTTATTGTTTATTGTTTATTGAAAAACTAGCTTCCAGTCAGAAATAAAATTCTGGTATGAGGAAGTTGATTACAAACAACAATAATAAAATAATATAAGGTGACAACAACAACAATAAGAATCTAAAAAATCTAAAAATGCTAAATCGATCAAGTCATAAAAATAGCCACATGGGGACTAATCAGTAGATGGCAAAGTATCAATTTTATCCATTTCGTAATGAAATCATGTGTTTTTTTAATTCAATTTTAAATTTTGAAATATGTCTGCAATTTTTTATATTATGTGGTAATTTATTAAATTCAGCTAGAGCAGCGTGAGTAAATTTTTTTTTGGCCAATTATAGATAGCAGAATCAAGATGAAATGAGTTTAATTGTCTCGTGTGATGACCATGAATTTCTGAGTTTCTTACCAAAACAAAATTGGATTTCAGATTATTGTTTATTATATTATATGAAACTTTAAGGGAATCTATTTTATATAATTCATCCAATGAAAATTTTTCTGTTATCGCATAAAGATCATTTGTTGGAATATCAAATGAGAGGCGATACAATACTTTCAGTGCTTTCTTATAAAGTGCAGATATTTTACTGAAATAATTTTTTGAACAAGATCCCCAAACGTTTATCATATAGGTAATACGACTGAATATATGAGAATGAAGAACTATGTTTATGACTTTTTTGTCAAGTTTAGGACATCTTCGCAAAGCTCCAATGATTGGAGATATTTTTTGAATCAGAACCTCTATATGCTTGTCCCATTTCAATTTTTCATCAATCCACAAACCAAGATACTTTATTTGTGTAGTTCTTTTCAATACTTTATTTTTAATTTGGAGATTGAGACTAATATTCTTTTTATTTTTTTGATGGAATATTATATATTCAGTTTTATTGGTGTTAATTGTTGAAATGTTTGAATAAAGCCATTTTTCAAATTTTGTCAAATCTTCGTTAATAATATTTTCTAGAATGATGGGGTTTTTGTTTTCGTATAGAAGTACAGTATCATCTGCATATATAGTATAATTACCTGAAAATCCAATTTTAGAAATATTTTGAATATATAATAAATACAAGATGGGCCCTAAAACAGATCCCTGTGGAACACCTTTACTTATTGGAAATTTATTAGACTCTGATATATTAAATTTTAATGCTGATTGTCCTATTCGCAAGATAATATTATAAAGGATTTTTAACAATGCCTCTTTGTATATTAATTTTCCATAAAATAATGTTACGCTATAAAATAGTGTTTCTCGAGTAAATGAGAGAGATAATGGAGTGAATCCAAGAAAGAAATGTTGAAAAGAGATAAGGCTAAAGCGTGATTTCAATTCGAACTCGATAGTGTAGCAATTACACTCTACAAATGTTATGAAAGAAACACGCTGTAATTGCTACACCGGGTATATATAAAAATATGTTTTTATGCGAATACACCGATGTTTAGAAGGAAATAATCTGTCATTCAAAACAAGAAACGTCCAAATCGAACAAGTAGTGTTCACGAAAATGTTTCCTAAACATCTGGTTTATTTTTGTTGGTGTGTCAATTTCTTGGAGAAGTATACAGTGTGTCCCACTTACCATGCTCACCATAGGTAACTTTTTAACGGTGAGAGATACGAGGTTGGTTAAATGACACCAAATGTGGAGTTTGTCAAGGCTAACTATAATGTGAAAAAATACAAAAAACAGATTTTGATCATTTTTATGTCTCTCCTCCGTAACTTCTTTATTTATGAAAATATTCAAAAAGGAATTTCACATTCTCATAACAGTTCTTCAAAGTGATTTCGAAAAAAATATGAAATTTATACCAACTCTTCTAGAATTCGAGATATTAGCACTAACTCTAGTTTTTCAAATGTAGGTCATAGCTCACTATGACTTACTTACAAATAACTTTTTTTTCTCTTAGAGATGATATGTCGCAGTAATAGTTTTGTGTTGATGACAACGGAGTTATCGTCATTTATACAAAAACAAAAATTTTTTGGAAGCTGCCATCTCGAATTTATGAATTTCAACAGAAAAATCATGATCTCCGACCTCGAAAACCCCCACTTACCAATTTTGAATGAAATCGGGCCAAATCTTGTCCGCCATCTTGGAGCAGCCATTTTTTTTAATTTCAACAAAAATTCCATATCTCCGATTCACTTGAAAGGCAGGTGTTCATAATTTCGGTGACAATACATTATGGAATTTTTGTTGAAATTAAAAAAATGGCTGCTCCAAGATGGCGGACAAGATTTGGTCCGATTCCATTCAAAATTGGTGAGTGGGGGTTCTTGAGATCGAAGATTATGATTTTCTTGTTAAAATTTATAAATTCAAGATGGCGGCTTCCAAATAATTTTTTGTTTTTGTATAAATGACGATAACTCAGTTGTTATCAACACAAAACTATTATGCGACATATCATCTGTAAGAGAAAAAAAAGTTATTTGTTACTAAGTCATAGTGAGCTATGACCTACATTTAAAAAACCAAACTTGGTGCTGATATCTCAAATTCTAGAAGAGTTGGTATGAATTTCATATTTGTTTTCGAAATCACTTCGAAAACCTGCCATGAGAATGTGAAATTCCTATTTGGATATTTTCATAAATAAAGAAAATACAGAGGAGACATGAAAATGATCAAAATCTGTTTTTTGCGTATAAAACAAAAACGAATAGATTTTTTCTAATTTTTTTTCACATTATAGTTGGCCTTGATAACCTCCATATTTGGTGTCATTCAACCGACCTCGTATCTCTCACCGTTAAAAAGATACCCATGGTGCGCATGGTAAGTGGGAAAACTTAATAAATAATAAGATTTACACAAAATACTCGTACAATGAATCAATCTAACATTAATTTATCCAGATTATTTAGGATTTTCGTTCCGTTTCTATAGAATGAGGACAAATCAGATGAACACTCCTATGTGCATCAGGCCGACTCGCGATGGGAATATTTTGTTCTGTTCTGTTCTGTTCTTGTACAATACATTACAAAGTTGATAATTTGTTAAAAATACGTATTTTTCGACTTTGAAATATGACGTTTAAGGTCGGCGTGAGTGCCGCTGAAGACAGGGATGTCCATGGGCACGGTAGCAGTGTACGGCTTGTTCCAACGCACGCCGAAGTTCCTTTCGCCGGAGAGCAAAAGTAGGATGAACGGGAACATAGCCAGAATTGTCTAGTTTTCTGCTCAAATCATGCAAGAAAAACAACTCTTTATGATGAAAAAAAAATAGAAATTGCATGGAATTCATATGACTTCATTTCTTTGAGGTGCCTAATAATTTCAATACTTACATTGGTCTGCTCTGGAATCATTTAGATGATATAATATCGGAATTAGTATATCCAATACATCACTGCTTTTCAGTACGAAATACAAGAATTTCTGGAAACAACATAGATTAATAGTTGTGAATAATATTACTTTCTCAAAATAAAGTGTGATAAAACTACCTATGTATCAATTTTCTCATGGTTATTGAAACGTCGAGATTCTGTGGAGTGAACTCAAAAATCGAAACAAATGACCTCTAATAGATCTTGAGAATTGAGATAATGGTGTATATTATATTTTTTCACTATTATTGTGGTGGAAAAAATTGAATAAAACACATTAGAAAATATCAGCCAATCATTTGTCATACAAAAAACTATTTCGTTTACCTTATTATAATCACACATTTTCCAAAAGAATACCAACAATTCCTGATGGCAATGAACTTTCTTTGTCGAATTCGGTAGGTAAGTTTGAACTAGGGGATTGTTCAACAATCTTGTCACCCCGTTCAGAATGAATTGGAAATCTTCGTCTCTATGTATTCGAGACAGGTAATTTATGAATAAATTGTCGGGCACTGAAACCTACAAAAAAAAGAGATCGATAGAATTCGTGAAACAGTTAAACTCAGAAACAGTTCGAATTCGGAACATTACCCTGAACATAACTAATCTAACATTGGATGTAGAGCTCAAAAATGTGAAAATATATATATATATATGAGGTGTCTTATTTGAAAATATTGACTTTTATTCATTTTTTCCTGTGGACAAAGTATCTGCATGTTGATACCACCCTGTATGAATTTAGTAAATAGATATTTATATATCAAGGGAGCAAAGTTATCCTCCTAGTCATTTCCTCCCGCACCCAGTAATTTTAAACATAACTTTTTGGAGGTTAGATGTTTCAGTCCCTACATATGAACTCCAACAACATTCAATTTAACACCAAAAAGGTATTTTGGGTGTATGATAAATTGACATTCATCATACAGGGCGTGGAAAGAAATTCTGAATTGAGACTCTATCACGAATCTGCGATTAGAGGTCTATAAAAATCACAAGTTTCCATCGTTCAAGTTTGAACCCCCTGATTGGGTATGAAAGTGTTGAAAAGGAATATTCTCAGATGAATTATAGACATACAAAAAAGGATATATATTTATATAAAGCAATACATTGAGAATTCGCATTCTCTATGTGATGAGAATATCTACTCTTTATCAGTTTATTCGATATAGAAAACAACTACTTTCCTGGCTATATGCCACGACGAACATTGAATTATATCTATTGAACACACACGATAAGAGTTTGAAAATAAAATATAAAAACTTCTGAAATTGAGAATTTGCATTCTCCTTCAGACAAAAATATGTATATGCACACATCATTCTGAATATTCAACAGAAAACAACTACTTTCCTGGCTAAACAACTAACAATATAAATTGCAGGTTTGCATCAGTATAATCCACGTATTTTCTAGCCCCAAGTTGTCTTCTATATTTAGAAGGCATGTCTCAATTTACCCTGAAAAAGTCGAATTTTCGATAAATACCCGTACAACCTCTTTAAGACACTGTTTTGAAGTTATTTTTACACATCATTTTATTAAACAGATATTGATTGAGGAAACGGGATTTTCATTTTATGAATAAATTAATTCGTCTTCTCACCGTACCTGAGACAACTTCGTTGTTTCTATAACCATGAAATATACGGTTACATACCAGCTGAATTTTTTTAAACAATACAGTGACACTATCGCAATAACCAACTTACTACCGTGTATCCTATCTATGCGAACAGGAATACAGCAAAATAACTTCAGAAAATTCATCATAGATGGAACTAGGAGACCGATTTCGTTAACATTGCAGTTTGTCTCATGTTATCCTTAGTGTCTCAAGAAACACCGTTTGACTGTACTCTTGCAAGGGTGTCACCCTGTATAGGAATGCCTATTACGAGTAACCTAGCGCCGGACAGTAAAGTAGTCCGCGAGCGGTAAAGTGCCACATTACGTCAGTAAAACCGGGCGGTAAAGTGCTACTTTACTCCCGGTCGTGCATAAATATTTTTTTCTGCAACCGACACAAAAGTCGTCCATTTTAATACCAAAATTAGCTCTTGAATTGACGTTCTTATTACTGACACAAACATAGGCATGTTGCTAGGCAACGCTTTTAGTTCATCGGAGCTAAAGTTGAACCTGAGCTCCTAGGAACTAAAAAGGATGTACTAGGTAATCAATAATAATAAATATTGTTAGGGTTGGTTATTTGGGTTGGGACGCATACCTGATTTGTTTCCGATTTCGACAGATTTGGCATTTCGTATCCATGCTGAAGATACACCATATTATGGTTAAGTATTTTTGTTTTGATCAGGAAAGCCTTCAAAATTCACATACTTGCTTGATCTGTATTTCATTCGTTATTCTAGGGATGGATAAGTTGTTTTTGAATGATCACGGCTAGCAATACATTTTTGTCTCACACAACGATATTGTTTACCTTCATTAGATTACCAAGCCAAACACAATGGAGTATGAAGACAAAAGTTATCGCAATTATTATTTTCGGGATGGATAACTTGTTTTTTAATAATCCCGGCAAGCAATAGTTTTTTGTCTCACACAACGATATTGTTTACATTCATTTGATTACCGAGCCAAACACAGTGGAGTATGAAGACAAAAATAATCGCTATTATTTTTCTTGATATGTTCACTAGCCTAACATTTTCCACGTCTTTTTCCTATACCTGGCACTGGCGCGATATTTGCTATTAGGGCTGACACCGACACCTGGTCCATACACAAATGGGTCACTTTGTGATTGTATTTATATTAAAACTACAATTCAAACATCCTTGAAAATTCAATAAACCTAATCTGTAATTGCAGGTAGAATATTCTCACCACACGGATTATTTGTTGCATAGCATACATATGGCAAGGCATCCACACGTTCCTGGTATAGTATTGAATTTGTGCCTGTAGTATCTGATGATATAATGCATGTCAACACAAATTGTAACAAAGTTAAGTGGTCTGAGGTTTTGCTTCTATGTGAATGGTGATGAGCGCATGTAAGTATGAACATATGAGGATGGATGATTTGTCATTAGATTGAGCGATGATGAACATTGTTAAAAACTTTTATGACTTGTCCTATATCATAAATGTAGGATCTCCTTGGATAAATAAAGGTATTCTATTCTATTCTATTCTATTCCATATCTACTTATTCATATTATTATAATAAAGATTTTATAATAGTTTATCAAGTGAGTCACATTGGTGGTTACTACACATATTTATTTTATTCAGTTAATTCTTTCGGTTGCAGAAAAATTAGCATGTTTCATTCGGATTCAAAGTGAGTTTGTTAGACTCGTTAATTTTGCTTTCGCTTGGTTTCGCTAGAGGCTCCGCCTCGCAAATGCAAAATTCGCTTGTTAAAGAAAGTGTTACTTTTGATCCTAGGAAAGAAATCTACATTTAAGTTCATTTTTGAATTCTTTGGTAAGGAGTTTTACTTACATCTTCGGATTCCGCAGGAGTGGAAGAGCTGGTGTCATGATCCAAAGTGACAATGAGGATTTGCAGAGCCGCCTCCACCAGCGGTTCTATCGAATCATTGAACAGGAGATGGTTGTATGGAACTCCCAAACCCACTGGATCGTAGGCGCACACTGTGTTCAGCAATGAAGTGAACATTGGGAGAGCATGTCGGTTTTCAGCTGAAGTCAAATATCTGAAAAAAAATGTGGGTAAACCTATTTGACCATTTGAATGATGATAATAATACCATTCATTTGTACTTCATTTCTACCCATTTTTAAATGAATCTATACTAAACTACGCAACACTAATTTCGTCACACCCCAAATTTTTGTCCCTGTTAAAATATGAATAACTTTTTTCTGCTTTGAACAATTTGAATTCGGATTACACTGTTCGCTAGCCCAGTTTTCCAGCTATAATCTCGTACTTCTTTAAAAGATGAGGTTCATCATATAAAATTGCTACAGGGTGTCACCTGAAACTGTGTCATTTGGGATCCTTTTGAAAATCCCGAAATTTTTTTTTCAACTTCGACAGCAGAGGCTTCTTATCTTCTTATCTCTTCTATTTACAGAGTGATATCAAAAAATGAACTTCCTGGTTCTGCAGTCATAACTTTTTTCTTGTCAACCCGTTTTTAAAATCTCATTTTAAAGCTGAAACTTCAGATGAACATTATACAGTGCGTCTCAATTCTAATGGAAGCAACCCTGTATGTTTCGCAACTGTTGAGTTAGGATTCTGAAACTTACAGGAGAGGGAGATGTACTGAAAATAAACACAATTCACTGACTATACATAATATTCCTGGAAAATTTTCAGTTCAGAAAAATTAAATTTTGTCTCACTTCTCATGGAAGCACCCCCGTATCTCACGTAATTATTGAGGTAGGGTTCTGAAATTTGCAGGAGAAAGCGAAAGGGACGTCCTGATTTTGAATCCGAAGTGATTTTCAACCTATCTTAAGCCGGGATTGGCGTAGTGGAAGAGCGTCCGTCTCACGACCGCAAGGTCGTGGGTTCGATTTCCAGCACGGGCAAGGAACTTTTTTCAATATTTTATTTACGAATTAAATATTGTAAAGTTTCGGAGCATCGGCTGGGGATAGTCCTGCACGATTCGCTGTTGCGTTCCAATTAACAGTGCTGCTCCTAAAGTGGCGCATGGAGTTAGTAACAAAGCCTACACAGAACACGCAGAAAGATATGATGATGTGGTTGTGAGCATCAGAGAAGAAGTAGGACGGTGTATGTAGGTGGGTGTGGAAAATTACCAGCTGAGCGTGAGAGCGGGCCAGCTGCTTAAGTAGACCTCGGTCTCGGGGGTTAACGATGATAGTTAGCAGGCCTGCCACTGCGCATATGGTAGTGAGTACATTACTAGCCTACAAAACACAGCTGAAAAACTCTGAAAGAGAGCTGATGGGCGGTGCCTGAAAAGGATGTTAGCCAGCTCTCTTGAGCGAACCACATCAGTCATTGAAAACACTTGGGGTTTGCAAAAAGGTCCCATTGGGGACTAGATGCTGACGTGGAAACGTCCCCCACCAGTACCAGTACCAGTTCAACCTATCTTGCCTCCTTTTATCATTTTTGTGAGTGGTTCCATGACTGTTGGCAGGCAGTGTATATCACTGGAGACGACTCCACTTGGTCATAGTGTGTATTTTCAGTATATCTACCGCTCTTGCAACTTTCAGAATCCTAGCTAACTCAACAATTACGAAAGATACAGGGGTGCTTCTATTAGAAGTGAGACACACTGGATAATATGTTCATCTTGAGTCGATTCTGATCTTCATATCTCTTCATCTGGGGTTTAAGCTTCAAAATGAGCCTAAGATTTTAAAAATCGGTTGATGAGGAAAAAAGTTATGACTGTAAAACCAAAGAGTTTATTTTTTGAGATCACTCTGTAAATAAAAGCGATGAGGAGACAACTTGAGAACTGTCCCAAGATAATGAGATCATCTACATGCCTCTACTGTCAATGTTGAAAAAACAAAGTTTTTCTTCGATTGAGATTCTTTTGAAATTTCCGAAATTTTGCACAGTTTCAGGTAACACCCTGTAGCGATTCTATGTGAAGAACCTTATGTTTTAAAGAATTACGAGATTATGGCTGAAGGTCTGGGCTAGCGAACACTGTCAACCGAATTCAAATCGTTCAAAGCAGAAAAAAGTTATTTATATTTCAACAGAGGCAAAATTTCGGGGTGCGACGAAATTAGTGCTGCGTAGTTTAATATCATAAAGAGAAACAACTTGTTGGTTTGTTTGTATTTAGTAGGCTCCGAAACTACTGGACCGATATGAATTTTTTTTTACTGTTCGAAGCCGACATTATCCCTGATGAACATAGGCTACATTTTACCATTGGAAAATGCTTCATTCCTACGGGAAAACGGGTAATAGGACAAAGGGTAGTAAGTATTATATATCTGTATTTATCTTTTTCACATAACTTCTAAACGGCTGAACCGATGGGGTTAAAATTTCGGTAGTTCCCTGGATGATTTAGAAATACAATTAGACGGGGTTGGTGGCGCTGCTGTCGGTACGTGAACTACTAAACGGCTTGACCGATTGGGTTAAAATTTCTAATAGGTACGTAAAACAACAACAAAACATACTGAGAGAATGATAATAGGTGTAAGTATACAATGGGCGAGTGGACTGATAATTAATTATATACAGTGCGCATCATAAGTGTTACCCCCCCCTATCTAACTCGTCACGGGACTCTTGTTAAGAAAATCGCCGAAACCCGTCGATTTTTGATTTCTACAGTGTACATTTTCATAGGGATAGTTCACTCCTAATTTCATCCCTTACTGGAGGGGAGCAACCCTGTCAAAAAATTCAAATAGCACGGGGTGGTCAGTGATAACTCATTTGAAAGGGGGTTTCAATCTCTATTCAACCGTGCAAAGAAATTGAAATTTCAAATGAGCTTTCACTCACCACCCCATGCTATTTAAATTTTTTGACAGGGTTGCTCCCCTCCAGTGAGTAATGAAATTAGGAGTGAACTATTTCTACGAAAATGTACACTGTAGAAATCGAAAATTGACGGGTGTCGGCGATTTTACTAACAAGGGTCCCGTAACGAGTTAGATAGGGGGGGTAACACTTATATGATGCGCACTGTATAATTTTTGCAACAACTCTCACACTTTTTAATGTGAATAATGAGTGTATGTATTGTTCAAAATCGTTGAATTTCAGAGCTCATTTTAAACGTAAGGTCATGGCCGCCATTTGGCGATACGAATAAATGGTGACGTCAGTTTTTATGCAGTTCCGTTATTGGTCAGATAATCTTCCATTTCCACTGATGAAGCAAGGTTGTCAAGTCACCAATTATAATCAAGTTAGGATGTTAGAGCCCTGTCGTTGAATGAAACATAATAGGAGGAACCCATGATGTTTTAGTTCATTCTCGATTTTTTCGAGCAACCAGCATGTCCAAATGTTTCTTATTCTCCATAACGAGATATCATGTGAATGTTGGAAACTTGGCAACATTGTCGTGAATGCAGAGAACTGACAAGACCACGCCCACAAGTCGTGCGCCGTGATTGTCACGTTCACCGATTCAAATGTTCTATAGTGTAAATTAATATAATTATTATTTACACAAATGTATTACAAGCAATAAGCCACAGATCATAAGAGAACATTTCCAGATAATTGAATTTTTATTGCTAATAAGGAATATTACCAATACTCAATTGAGCATTTCTGAATTATTGAATATATAATATTTCAGGAGTTTCCAATCGTATTTCAACACATGGCAACTGTGCTATGGTTTGCCCCTACTTAGGAAATCATGGCATCATTTTTTACTGGCGGAAAATGTCTAGCCATTTGAAAATTACCGTGGCATTATTCATTTTAGCACCTGAAAATACTTAAAAAATATAAAATCGAGAGGTATTCGAGTGATGATTCCATTCAATAAATAAAAAAAGGCCACTTGCCTATTGTTGTAGCTACAGGTAGAAACAAAAAAATCAAAAAAATATGTACTATAAATAGCTCAGAAAGACAAATTTTTTCAATGGGAACATTAACCCTGTGAAGCCGGGCCGGACAAAGAAATAAACCACTTGAATTCAATTTCTTTTTTAAAGGAAATATTCTTTCATTTTCAATTTGTTCAGTAATATTCCTGAAATTTGTTATATCTTGTGATAGTTCATTGCATTTGGAAAGTGCTTCGTGAGTTGATCACTTTTGGCCAATAAAAGAGTTTGCAAGATGGAACTGGTTAGGTTGTCTTGTATTATAATTGCAAATTTCCAAATTTCTAGTAAATATTGAATTATATTTCATCATTTTATTGATAATAACATAGGAGTTGATTTGTTGAAGTGTCAAATAGTGATACATTGATTGTGAATATTTTAAAGGAGCATACAGTTTTTTTGACTCAATCTACAAATTATGGTAGAAAGTAGCATACTTTTTTCTGCTTGTTTCAGGATCTCAATAATTTGAATAACTCATTGATTTTAAAAACCTAATCACATTAATGATTTGAATAAACCATTGTTTGAAATAATTAAATGATTGAAATAAACCATTGATTCAAATAACCCATATAATTTTCCTTCATTTTGTTCTCAGGATCTCAATGGTTTGAATAACTCAATAATTTGAATAACCCAGTGATTTGAATTGCCCATTGATTAATTTGATTAATTTGAACTTGAATTTGAATGACCCAAAATTTTTCCAAATGATTTGATTAAGCCATTGAAAGTAACCCAATCATTTGAATGAACCAATGATTTGAATAACTGAATAAATTTGATTAACCCATTGACTGGAAAAACCTAATGATTTCATGATTTGAATAACCCATGAGCTTATCATTCAGTATTTTATATTATTTTCATCAGAAACTTACAAGATCCATTTATTAGGATTTTCACATATATCAGCAGGAGGATGATACATAGTTTCACTGAAACATGTCAAAAGGAGTTTCAGTAACTCTGTTCTGTTGGAGTCAAAGACAGGATTTTTAGATGGGGAATGTGCAAATCCAACACCTGCTTCCCAGATATATTCACAACTATCAATGGCTGATAATTCTTCTGCTTTGTCCTAGAAAATGCAAATCAAACTTAGTCTCTAGTATTTGAAAGGCCAACATTCAAGTACTTTTATTTCAATATTGATATTTAGTTCAATATGACACAAATTAGAATTCATACTTACTGGCCCACTTTTTCTGCTAGCTACAACTGTGAAATCAGGACAAAACAACAAGTCCTGAAAAAATATGTGTACTAATTCAATGATTTGGTAATGCAGTCCTCAATAAATATTATTCCCTCTAAAAACCCCATGAAAAAATGAAAGAATTGGAATAGCTGTGCATTCCAAATTCCTTGTACAATAGTGAAACATCAACTACTATAACCATGGACCTTAAAACATCCATGAAATTACAATGCCATCATTTAAAATGATTGAGGAACAGAATAGCTACCAAAGAATACCCTAGTCTTTATATTCTATGACTTACACAAACAGAATTTAATAAAGAATGTGCAAGAGGAATTGATTCATCATCATCATCCCCATGTCCAGGCAGAGATGACCAAAAAAACCCTTTCCACTCAGCATCCTCAAATATATAAGGCAAAACCCTTGTAAGCAATCTAGCACAATTCAGAACTGGAATATGAAAAAGGTATTAATGCCATCTACTCTGTAGTATAAGATATGGGTATACCTGTCTGCTGTTCCCCTTGTGTCCTACAACTATTATCTACAGCTTTAACTAATTTCTCCACAGCTTTGTAACATAATGTAGCCAAGTTTGTGGGAGCATCTTCACGTAACTGCCTTATTTCAGCAGCTGGAACTAAAGTAAATATATCTTGAACATTTGTAACATTCTCGGACCAGAATTGTTCCCAAAAGGATTCATCATTGGCATCTATGGGCTGAAAAATAGAATGAGTACAGAGTTATATTAGTTTTTATTTTCAATTCATTTAATATGATGAGACAAGAGAAGTGGGTACCTCTGATTTCGATGTTAATTGCACCACAGCTTTTCTGAAATTTAGCTTAGTATCAACATTTCCCATTATTCTATTCTACAATCGAGTTTTCTTAGTTTATATTATTTTTTCAAAAGGGAAATAAATAAAAACACAAATGTCACGTCACAACAAATCCATTTGACATATTATTGACATATGACAAAATTGTACAAACTGTCAAAATTGTAAGAATTGTCAAAAGTTTGTTTACATCTTACATCCGAGCCGAGGTTTTAAACAATTTCTTGACTTTTTTACATGGATAAAATAAAAATTATCAATAAGCCCTTTTGCATAGGAACGAAGTTACATTAGTGTCGCATTGAAGTGTAATGATGGTGTCCGAATCCGAAATTTCTTTTTCAAATATGGAACTTGGCAGAGATTATGAAGCAATACGATTGTTAGTAAATATTTACATGATAAAGACACTGAAGAAACCACACAAACCAGTGAATCAGGTACAATTCATGGAGGAAGTACAAGAAGAATTCAGCAGTAGAAATTATGACTATTCCTTAAAAGAGGTATTAACCTGTTGGAAACACCTATTAGAATTGTACCATTATTACAAAGAGAATTTTGAAACTGATATTGCTAAGGAAACTTGGGAATATTTTGAGTTGATGGATGCTTGTTTTGATGAAAGAATGGATACTTCAGAAAAGTTTGCTGACCCAGATTCCACTATATACCTCATTGATTGCATGTCTGAGCATAGAGAAACCCTTGTGAAAGAAGGGCTTACCATGGATGTTCTACTTGATGTAGAAAATGAATTCAAGAAATCAGGCAACAATGAAATCAATCAGAAGGACATTTACATCCAGTGGAACAATCTCAAAAAAGTCTACTATGATTATAGACATTCAGGGCAGAAAAAGCCCAATCAACTTGACATGTTCTTGGAAGGCATGAGGCTTTTCTACCAAGAAGATGAACGTCAAAAATATACCAATGCTCTTAAAAGGAAAAATGAAGATACTGACAGTGCTGAAAAGAGAATACACTCTTTAGAGAGTTGAAAGAAAAACATCTCACATGTATTTGAAAATCTAGTTTAGGTTTAAAAACTTTGCCCCAGTTGTGAAAATTTTAAAATAAATACTTATTACTTTGAGGGTTTCTGTGACAAATAATGTCTGCAAATCCTGCACAATATTATTGATGTTCTCCATTTTCCATCATCCCAATAAAAAAGATTTTGAATTTGGATTTTGAAATTTTAAATAAAAAAATGGATGTTAGGCCTTCAAGCATTATAGGCCAGAAGATATATTTGAATGACATTGACATTACCTTCCTGGACTAGTGGACTATCCGGCCAAAATTTGAAATTTTATTTTTGAGGTTAGGTTAGCATTAGACTTTATTTTCCTTTAAATTTTTTATTTTGTTTTGTGTAATAATACTCAAGAGCCTTGTTGGTTGTTGAAGATGCCAGACCCAGAATGTGAAGAGAAAATTCCGATTGCGAATACAATGGAAGAGTTGAAACCAGAACCAAATATGCTTACTGAAGAAAGGGAAGCTAGGAAAGATAATAGTGAACTAAACATTGAAAGGGCAGATATAGTGGAAGAAAAGAACCCTTATGCTTATCTTGAAAGAGATTTTTCATCAGAAAACTATAAAATTGAAATAAAAAATTTGCCAAAGTATTATGGGATCAGTGTAGGTGACCAATCAAGCAAATGAAATTGCCATGACATTTTATCAATATATTTCAGGAGTTTCGTAAACTATTGAATGAAAAATTGAAACTGAATTCTAATAAAATAAAAACAACCAGAAAGAATAGCCCTTTTGCATTTGTATGTTTCCGGAATGAAGAAGACAGAGATAAGGCAATTCAAGTTCTCTCCAATTATAAGTGGAAAGGAAATGAACTACAGGCAATGGTAGGTTAATATTTATCATTCATATAACATTTTGATAGTATAAATATTGTTCAAGAAAGCAAAACCTGCACCAGATCCATTGGTGAAGAAAAGAAAAGAAGATGCTGATGGGTCTAACACCAATAAAAAACTAAAGGTAGAAGAAGGTTCCCAAGAAGAAAGATTGAAAAATTCTACTATACCTTATTGGAATATAGATTACAAGAAACAGGTGAGAAATCATTAGATTTGTGTTGAGGTTTGTGGTAATATCAGTTTTTTAACATTCTAGTTAGAACTGAAACTGGAGGATATAAAAGAAGTACTAAGAAAAATGGGGAACAACTTAGCACATGGGAATCCAGAACTTCAGAAATGGATAGAAAAACAAAGATCTCTTCATAATGGATTGCCTTGTGAATTACAGGATATCAAATTTTCTGAGGTAATAGAAGGGTGAGTAGTCAAATGTACAAATTGAGACAAATACAGCCTGAAATTGATACTTACAGATATAGAAATAAATGTGAATTTACTGTTGGAATTGATGAAGATACAGGCCTTCCCACAGTTGGATTCAGATTGGGCAGTTATGTGAATGGGACCACAGGTGTTGGTCCTGTAGATGATCTTGTACATATTCCACAGTCAATGAAAACTGCTGTGAAGGTATGATATTTAGTGTGAGCTACTTGAAATCAAACATTCCACCATGAATTTTCATTCTTCCATTTGATTTTAACAAACTGATTCTAATTAAAGAAGATGCTAATTTTTCCATTAGGTCTCATTTGGATTATAAGCAAAAATATTGTCAATGTGTTCTGAAGTAATTTTTCATGCTCTTCACTTGAAAAAAACTAGGTGCAGAAATGAACATTTCAGAATTTATCACTATGAATAGGAATAATAAGAGGTGAAGTTTATTCATGGTTTGAAAATTATCTGATTGATAGGAAGCAGTTTGTATATGTATATGGGACTCCTTTCCTTCAAAAAAATTATTAAAAAAATCATCTTGTGGTGTGCCTCAGGGATCAATTCTTCAAACTATTTTCTTTCTTATTCATATAATAAGTTTGTAAGTGCAAGGTATAATTTAAAATTATTTGCTGATGACACAACTCATATTTATTACTTATATCAGAAATATTCAACAGATAAAAACCAAATGGAACAAGATCTCACTTCTATTACATTATGGCTACATCATAAATTGACATTCAATTTAGATAAAGCCTCTCATATTCATCTTGAAATGAATTATACCCAATAACCAAATCAATCCCTTGAAATTCGGAACTTTCAAATTTTTGCCTAAATCCTACAACAAAATATAAATCTCTGAGGTTCAACTAACTATAGACCAGTATCTATCTTGGTTATCACATATTCAAAGGCTTGGGAAAGCAATCTCTCCCATTGTTGAAATATAATACAAATTGAGGACTTTTATATCACTTAAATACTTGTGATTGATTTACTCTAAATTGTATTATTCGATTTTTATCTGGGTTACTGCAACAAAATCTGTTTTATAACCTCTTAAATCTCTTCAGAATTTTATAAACTACCATTTTTGGAATCAACCTCCAGACTAGGGGTGGGCAAATTTATCAATATATCGATAATTATCGATAATATCGAGATAATATCGATAAAAAATCAGATAAAAAATTATCGGTTTATCGATAATATCGATAATATTGATTTATCCATAATATCAATACTATCGATTAAATTGATAATATCGATTATATCGATAACATCGATAATGATCGATAAAATTTTCGAAGATTTTCATTAATATTGGATCCTCCATTTTTAATTCCCTAATTTTGATGAAAGAATCATAATCCTCGACCCCAAAATCTCCCAGATACAAATTTTGAATGGAATCGGATCATATAGTTACAAAACTCGTCCGCCATACTGGATCGACCATCTTGGATTTCCAAATTTTGATGAAAGAATTATTATCTCCGACTCCGAAAACCCCCAGATATCAATTTTGAATGGAATCTGATCATAATTAAAAAACTCGTCCTCCATTTTGAATACGCCATCTTGAATTTCCAAATTCTGACGAAAGAATCATCATCTCGGACTCCGTAAATCCCTAGGTACCAATTTTGAATAGAATCGGTCCATAATTGAAAAACTCGTCCGCCATTTTGAATTTCGTAATTTTGACGAATTAATCATAATCTCCGACTCCGAAAACCCCCAGATACCAATTTTGAATAGAATCAGACCATAATTAAAAAATTCGTCCGCCATATTGGAGTCGCCATTTTGAATTTCCTTTTTTTGACGAATACATCATAATCTCCGACCCCGAAAATCCCCAGATACCAATTTTGAATAAAATCGGATACAAAACTCGTCCGCCATCTTGAATTTTCGATTTAAAAAATAGATTAGGACCGATTCTCATACCTACCGAATACTCACTAAAATTTCCATACGAATCGATCGAGCCGTTTCGGAGGAGTTTTATATATTTTATAAACTAGATATATACAGGGTGATTCATTAAGAATGGGAAATATCTGAACTACACATAGTAAACACAAAAATAATGAGATTCAGCCCAATATGCCTCGTGAGAATGTTGCTGGTTTAGGAGATACAGGGTGTTCTAGGGGGAGATTTTATTTCAAAATTTCACAATAACTTTGTTAGTTTTAACAGCATGAACATGAAATCTTGTATTTATAGGTTTTCTGGCATGAGGAATATGAATTTGCAACTTATTTTGTGATTGCTCATAGAGAGCGCTAGTGGCACTTTGTTACTGCGATAATTTACATCATATCTTTTATGTCAATTCATTGATGATCAAAATAACTAGAAAATCTGAAAGCTCGTTCAATTTCACATGAAAAATGTACCCTTAACAAACTGTCTAGCTTCAACGGTTTTTGTGTTATTTGCTCTTGAAGAGATTAATTTTCCTCTTATGACATAAAATTATTAAAATGTATGTATTGCCGGCAAACAGCGTATCTCCAAATTTCGTACACCGTTTGCCTAATAGTTTCAGGCATTCCCTGTAATGACGGGAGGAAGGTTCATTTAGGCCGAGTCAGCTTAGGTTGTTCAGAAGCAGTAGTCTCTTCTGTAATTTTCTGAAAAATATACTTTCTAGGAAGAAGTTTCATCTAGGCGGAAAAATAGTCTCCCTTCTTATGCATACACAGAAAGGATATTTTCCTTTCTCGGCCCACCGGCAAACAGAGTAACGGCTGAAAATGGAAGTTACGCTGATACGCTGTTTGCCGACAATACGTGAAATGACTAGGCATTTCACGAAATGACGGATTTTACTAATTGACGTCGACATATTGGCGAGATTCACGAAGTGGGCGACATCTAGGTTACATAATACGAACTTCAAACTGGGGGAAAACAAACTGTTGTCTATGGATAAAGTGCAGACTACATTGCATTCAGCTTGCTGTAGCTGTAGTCAAACTTGTCAATGACATAAAGGTTGGCACTGTTGGTAGTGATGATGGTTGAGTTCGTTTATTTTTTCACATTATTACATTTTTATCAGTTTAGTGAACAGTGAACGGGTGAAGAATTGGAGATAGTTCACACAATTCAAACTAATTATGACGAGCAAATCAATTGACATATAAAAGATCAGCTACAACATGTTTACAATACCCAGATTGTCCTGCTTTGCATGAACAAATACAATTCCATCGAAAGGAGTTCCCTCTGGACCCCAACTTCAATTTTACTTCATGTGGGGAAGATTTCATCGCCGAAGTTTGTAGACAAAGTGCAAAAATGTGCCTTTTGTTGAAGTCTTCTGCCTCACACAAAATCACATGATTAGCACGGAGAACTGCTTCTCCTTCCACTACTGGCCGACTCTTTCCATCTTATTAGGGCAAAATATATGCCAAAAGAACATCTACAACAGGCATTATTAGCGTTTTCGATCGGATATTGACAATTAATTTCAAGAAATTTAAAAACTTATCACTCTTATCAGTGCACAGTACACAAGCTAATGGCACTAATGGGATTGATTGAGGATTGAGTTTGTTTTCCTCCAGTTTTGACGTGGCTTTGACATGGAACGATAAAAAACGAGCGCCACCCATATACGTATTAATAAACAATACGGATCATAACGGGTGCCAGGATGAAGCCAAAAATATGAAACAAATGAATATCCATAAGGATTTGGTGGCATGATACGCATGCGCCATGCGCTATTATAGTAGTCATCAAAGACATGCGTTTCGGTGGACAATGACGTTTACTAGCCTTTCAATCAAAGCAGTATGTGTCTGATCGTATCTCACTTTTCCTTATGGATAGTCATTTGTCTTCAGAAATCGGCTTCATGTTTCGCTATGGAAACAGATAGATTATCCGTATTGATTATTAATACGTATATGGCGCCACCTGGTAACATTGATTCCCGCGAATACATCAGTATTCTCTTGTAACAAATAGGGTCCCTTGATGTAAATTGACGTATTTGTCATCTTAACAGGGTACGGACAGATACAGATCCTCGTCTCCTCTCTCTCTAAAGTGTTTGTGAAACAGTTATTTCAGTTAGTTTCATCTTCATTCATTTCTGGGGATAAACACTAGATTTCTGGCATTTTTTGTTTTTTAGGTTATATTGAGGACATTGGCGTATCATACGTAATTTCCACATGTAATATCTCATTCAACTCAACATATTATATCCAAATGATGATGATGATTTTCGAGTTTTTGATTTTTCAACTCCAGCATAATCTTTGTAAGGCAGTGAGCAAATTTTTGTCAGAGTTCAATACGTTTTACCACATGGGACTGTTCTTAGGCAGTACCTATCAATAAATGAATTTTGATTTCAGACTAAGCCTTATTTTGAGATATGGTGAAGAATTTTATGTAGGTATTCAAACTAATGTGCTCATATATCATGTGTGCTGTATATATTCATGTTGGGAATCATTTTTGCAGATTTTCAGGAACACTTAATATTTCCTGAATGTAGGTATAATTTTTTAAATGGTAGGGCATATGCCTTTTCTTTTAATCCTCCGTTTCAGTCCGTTTTAGTCAAAACTGATTCTACTAAAATGCATTCCAAAACTTGTGGAGTGGATAATTATAGGCACAATGAGAAAGTATAATATGTGATTTCATATTAGGTTCACCTCAAATATTTTGCTGATGTATTTACCAATTTTCCCCATTCGGTCACTCCACTTTCCATGTTCTGAGTTCATTTGCATTTGATAGAAAGCTGACAAATTAAAATTTGCCATCCAACTGATTGATGAAGCCTAACGCAGCACATTTCACCATCCTTCCAAAACAGAATTGAATAATGTCGTATCAAGATCAAGTATGAAATTGAAATTTTGTAAAATCTCTTTTAACGCCTATGAATGTGACGTGACAGCAATGTCATGTCAGGGACGCCAATACACGAAACCAAAGTCACTAGATGATTAAAAGAGAAAGGAGCTATGATCTGTCCGTACCCTGTTAAATGACAAATACGTCAGTTTGCATCAAGCATCGAGGGACCCTAGTAGCAACGAATCCAAAAGTTTGTTCTCTAGCTTTTTCAAGATTATGTGAGAAATTCCCAGTTGAGAGTATTCAGCCCAGAGTTCCATACAGGCCATTTCAGACAACTAATGGTAAGGTCAGCTTCGGACCAGTTGATGCTAGTGGTGGGGCTTCATCCACAGGATCTCAATGCTGAAGAATTGGATGCTTTCAAGAAAGATTTGATTGACTATTTCTCAACAGGGGGTGGGAAAGAAGCCAAAGTCACTTCTCTGTATTATCAGAAGATTGTCAAAAAGTAAGATCTATAATGAGGTAGACTCAAGAAAAATAAATATTATAGTGTTTCCAGGTGTTGAAAAAAATCATGGTTTTCAAAAAAACATCAGAAATCACCTCGGAAATTACGATTTTCTGAGAAAATTTAGATTTCTTCGACTAGTCCAATGAATGAAGGAGGAAAAAAAGGCAAAGTTAACGTTAATTACGCACTATTTTCATCTTCCGGTTGGAAGTAGCTTTTGGTACCTCATTAAACATGAGACAAAGTTTGACTGGAAAACGCGTGCGATGGCGGAGAAAATGGCCCCAAAAGACCAGGAAAATAGGTTTTCAGCCAATATCTCCTAAAATATGGCAGTTAGAGATTTTCGGTTCAGATAAAAATTGAAGTTCAGTTAATTTTCGACAAAAATGGTCCTTATCATTTTTCTCGAAAATGTTCCCGGTTTCGAGAAAAACGGCACGAAACGCACCTCGAATAATGAGCTTCTGTGTTGTATGCCGGAGAGCACCGTCCGTGTATTTACACATCGGCGGGGGGACAAATTATTCAATAACTTTGTTAAAAATGCATATTTTCTCATGATTCAAAGTTCATGTGAAAGAGGAATTCTGCTGCTATCATACCCTGCGTGGCCGCATGGTTTGTAGCAGACGACCCGAGCGCCACGTACAGCACACACGCGGCGAACGACGGAGGAACGAAAGTAATAAATTATAGCGTGTACATTTAGATATACTGGTTTTTTCCCGGGATATCAAAGGTATGACTTATATACATCGATGGAAAGGTGGGAATTCCCCCGTTACACTAGTTAAGGTGTTAAAATGTTAGAAATAAAGAGCACGGAGAAAAAAACAAAAAAAAAAGTGCGTTTTCTCATTGACCCCGCTTTTTCTAATTTTATTGAAAAATGGACGACTTCGTCTAAAAAAGTAATTGCACAATCGAAAAGTAGACCTTCTTAGCTTTCAAAGGATGTATCATAGAAACCAATCGGATCATGTATAAATTTTTAATTGATGGTTGTTCACAAAATTTCCCCGCGCTCCAGAAACAGCAAAAAATTGGGATTCAATAAACAAAGATTAAATGAAAATTTAAAAAAATTAGGGTATACAAATTTCAGGGATGACAAAGGACCTTATGAGGACCCATAATCAAGAAAATTTTGAGTAAATTAGTGCAATACAAAAAAAATAGGAACAAATTCCTGGCGAGGTCAAAATTGACCGGGAGCAGAAAGTTTGACCCATGTTCCGATATGGCCAAAAGAGTCAAGCGTGACTCTATTCACTGGGTATGATAGCAGCAGAATTCCTCTTTCACATGAACTTTGAATCATGAGAAAATATGCATTTTTAACAAAGTTATTGAATAATTTGTCCCCCCGCCGATGTGTAAATACATGGACTGTGCTCTCTGGCATACAACAGAAGCTCATTATTCGAGGTGCGCTTCATGCCGTTTTTCTCGAAACCGGGCGAATTTTCGAGAAAAATGATAAGGACCATTTTTGTCGAAAATTAACTGAACTTCAATTTTTATCTGAACCGAAAATCTCTAACTACCATATTTTAGGAGATATTGGCTGAAAACCTATTTTTCTGGTCTTTTGGGTCCATTTTCTCCGCCATCGCACGCGTTTTCCAGTCAAACTTTGTCTCATGTTTAATGAGGTACCAAAAGCTACTTCCAACCGGAAGATGAAAATAGTGCGTAATTAATGTTAACTTTTTACCTTCATTTATTGGACTAGACATTATTAAGTTTTTTTCTACATAATGAGACAAATTGCTAATTTGAACATTCAATTGTTTTCCTACCGTTCTTCAAATATCAATAAAGAGAGTTTCTGTGGAAAAACCTGATTCAAATCATGATATTGAAGCAATCAATTAAAAAAAATACTTTCTACCTTATTGGGTAATCCCAAGTTTTTTTTATTTTATTTTAGGAACCGAAGTAATGATTTTATACCATCAGAACATCTTTGGGGTGAAACACACCTTTATGAGACGGTTTTAGGTTTGAAATTCAGAATTTCGCCAGAAGCGTTTTTTCAAATAAATACAAAAGGGGCCGAGATTTTATACCAGGCTGCTATCGATTTGGCAGAACCTCTAGAAGGTTCCACGGTACTTGACGTTTGTTGTGGTACAGGTACCATAGGACTCTGTTTTGCCAAGGTAAAAAATCAAAATGAAGTTCTTGTTGAAAATAATTGAGTTCAACCAACAGTTGAAAGAAAACAAAAGGTGCAGCAGGATTAGATCAAAAAATTATGTTTTGACATCCCCTCGCTTCACTTTTGTATTGAAAGATCTTCGAAAACTACAAAAAATGATAGATATTTGGCCCCCGAGGTAATGAATATAAAAATTAAAGTACAAATATATTTCCAGACATAGACATAGATAAAACGACAACTTTTATCTATTTATTTTTTTATAGTTCTAATAAAAAAAGGTATAAGGGAGGTCAAAATATAGTCAATTGATTACCATCCACATCGAATCAATTATCTGTTTTTAATCATAACTTTTAGAAATGTTCTCAAGTCTTGGGAATTGAAGTGGTCCCTCAAGCAATAGTTGATGCTAAAGAAAACGCTCAATCGAACGATGTTCAAAATGCGGATTTTTTCGCTGGAAAAGCGGAAGATATACTGGGCAATATTTGTTTTAAAGCAACTGGAAAGGAGATTATAGCAATAGTAGATCCTCCCAGAGCTGGTTTACGTAAGTAGTACCTACTAAATTTCTTTAAATAATTCATTTGAACATGCGATGATCAAGATGTTCTGTAATTAAACCTACGAATTTTGAATTTCTTGTAGGATTTTAAAGAATCGATTTGGTTATCAGGTATGACCCTTTTGTAGATGAACATGATATAGGATTAATTGAAATTGAGTATCAATTTATGATCTTGTAACCATAATATAATCGAAGCAAGATCTTGTTTCATTTGGTTTTTTATTTCTTGATATTTTTTTAGTAATAAATGAAAGTTGTGTCATGGGCAAATAATTTTATATTAATTCTTATTTTAAACTCGAGATAGAATTTATATAAATCAGAAATAATATAGGTCCGAGAATTGAATACATGTTTAATGCTCAAAATTATTGTAGTTACCAATAATCCTGAATGAAAATATGTAAAAATGTATATCCCTCCCAAGGTACACTTCTGGGTACGCCAATGAATGTTGGTAACACGAAAAATGAGAAGAAAACCATTCTAACCTCAATAGACACGAAGGTGAAAGCGATTTTCTTCGTAATTTTTTTGTACCAGTACTAAAACATCAGCCATAATGTAATTGAAGTAAGATCTCGTTCCATTTGGTTTTTTATCTCTTGACTATATCTTCCGTATTAAATTAAGACTTGTGTCACCGGCAAATAATTTTAAATTACCTCATAATTTCAAAGTTGAGATAAAATTTATATAATTAAGAAATACAATAGGTCCGAAGAAAATGTGCCTTCCAGGTATACAAATTGCTGTTTATCAATTAGATTATTTTCAAAACCAGAATAAACTAATAAGTGTTGATTTATGCAGCATCAATTTACAATAATCAAGTATAACAATTATCAATTAACAATTGAACCCTATGCTGGAACAACGTTGTAACCGCCAATATCTATAAAAACGGTATTTCCATGGAACAAGGTTGTATGCGACCTATACAATCTGCTGTCATGATAGTGGGGGCATTGAAAGTTTGTATGGTGATTTCTGGTGTCATTTCGGTCATTCGAATTTGGAGAGATTGTGGAACAACGTTGTATGTGCTATCACGGCTTCTAGTTTACCGCGCGCTTTATTTGTTTACATGTGTTTGGTCTGTAGTTTATTGTCTTTATAAGCAGAAATGGACGTTTCTTTGACAAACTCAGTTATGACACAACTAAATGATATTAAAAATTCTTTTCCTTTTTTTACTTTCAGGCGAATATTTACTTCATTTGATGAAACAATCGATCATATATAGTTTTTTCGATTCACCAAAAAAAAAACATTTTTGCCATTTACAACGTTGTTTCAGCATAGGGTTCAATGGGCTTATATCACAAAACATTTTTATTCCATAATTCGATAGAACTCACCCAAACTAGGTCACCACAGCAAACCGTTTATCGCTGTGAGCTCCCTACGTTTTATAAAAAATTATTGAAATCCCCGATTTTTCGGACCTCTGAAAACGAGGCGATGATGTGACGTCAAAACCCTAATACTGAAACAAGACTATTCCAGACAGAGATGAATGATACATGATTTCTGACAGAGTGAATTAGCGCGAGATCACAGTCGAAAGAATTAATATATCAGTTGCCTCAGTCTCCGTCGGACGTTTGGTATTTTCTTTCAACTATGGCGAGATGAGGTTTCTACGTCATAAGAGGGTCCGTTTTCAGATGGTACTATTATTTATGTCCAAAAATTGAACTTTCCAGTAAATTTTTCGATCGAATTATGTCGTCATTCATTATTTATGTATGAAAGGATCATTATAAACATGGTTTGAGTTGAAAGTTCTACCAAAGTGTACACGCCCATTACCAAGCAATAACTAGCTGAAATGTTACCATTTATGATCGTGCATTTATGCAAACCAAATTAACAATTGAAAATAAAAAATACGCAGGCGCAAAAGTCCATTTCAAGTCATTCAAGATGGCCATAGAAATTTGTTTCATAATATATTAGACACATTTTTGGGATACTGCTATCACAAGTGGGGCCAAGACTAAAAAATAATAGGAATAATGAAAAGTAAAAAGAAACACGAAACCGGGAAATGTTTTGAGGTTACTCTCCATCATAGGATGGACCCAAAAGTGTTTGGGATCACACGTTAAAAGGTAAGGCCCCCGTCATTCCTTGCTCGCACAAGACTTTCGAAGACTTTTGAGGGTTGCTCGTAAGGGGGCAACCGAATGACGGATAGAACAAACAAACAAACAAACAAACAAACCAATCCTCGGTCATCTACAAGGTCATCTGCGTACTAGTTGCGCACAATAAGAAAACCTGGTTCAATTAATGTAAAAAGTCAAAAGTTGACCAACCTTCTACTTGTTATTTGATAAATGATAATTGTTAATTGTCTGCATAAACACAGTGATTGAAAATAGGAAGTTCAACTCATAATTGATAAATGTAAATTGATAATTTACTTGATAATTGTTGATTGATGCTGCATAATTCCACATTTACTAATAAACTTCACATTCACGTCTTATTCGCATTCCAATTTGTTTCTTCAGTTGTATTAAAATTTTAGGTAAATAAATAATTCTTGGAGAATCAATTTTTGATAATTTATTGTACTGAGAATACTTTTTTGATTGAAACATACAACAAAACTAAATTCTTCCTCTTATAATAGACATTGTAAGTGTCATAATTTTTTAATTCCAGAAAAAAAGGCGATATTCCAAATACGCAAAATAAACAAAATATCCAAAATGGTGTACGTGTCCTGTAATCCTACTGCAGCTTTGCAAAATTTCTCGGATTTTGGGAAACCGGAATCGAAGAAAGTCAGTGGAGAACCATTCATTCCTGTTAAAGCGGTGGCCGTAGACATGTTTCCTTTCACAAAACACTGTGAGCTGATTCTGTGCTTCGAGAGGTGGGATAAACTTTCAAAACAACTGGAAGAATCGAAGGATAGTTAACTAGGGTGGTAACATTTTCATGTTGTGATAGATTATTGATTTTAGTAATTATTACACTATGAATTGAAAATAAATTCGGTAAAACTTTTTTCGAAATTTTTGTTGGTACTTACGTATTTTTGTCTGAAAACTTCATTCTCCTAGGAAATCACTATAGGCGATTCATGCTAAGGAGTACTCCCTCTACCGTTGTCTAATATAACTAACGTATGGGCCATTGATTGCTTTGTTTACATTAGTTTGCGTGTATTTTGTATGAGAAGTAGTTGTGTTTTAATTGTCTATAATTTTGTTTGAGAACTTCTATAAACGTTTAAAAACATGAGTCATCATTGTTGTGTACGTCATTGTTCATCTTGAGCAAAAAAATCCCGAGTATAGCTTTCATTCCTTTCAAAAATCAGGACAGTCTAAATTTGTATTTGAAACTAATAATTTGGGAAACAAGGAAGTGATCGGTAGGAGAAAGGTTGTGGATTCATAACTTGAAGATTGGAAAAAGTGTAAAGTGTCTGAACATAATGAGATATTGTTCTTTACACTTCACTGAAAATTTACTCATACCTATAGGTATATTTTCAAATGTATGTCTATTATGAATATAATACCTACTTCTTGAGGTGGTGGTAAAAGAACAAACAAATTTCAAACTGATTATATCTTTACTCATGAACAGTAGAATTTTTAAACAGTAAAGAATTTTATCAATCAGGGTTTCGATGATTATGTTGTAAAAAGTCAAGTAGAAACTGTTTACCTAAATTCACCTTCCAAAGAACACTTTATTCCCAAAAAGTTTTTAAAAATATCATGCACTATCAGGGGAATGTCCCAGCTATATATTCGAATTGGAAATCAACATTCCACACAGGTTTTCATGAGTATTCTTGTTCAATAATGATAAAAACTTACAGCCTATGCATGTTGGTATATATAAAGTTCAACTAGAGGTAGGGAGGTTATCTAATGTTGAACAGAGATAATATAGTCCTCAATCAAAACACAGTAGACCGCTGGAAAATGCAAAGTTCGAAAATAGACAAATAACAAAGCTGGACGTTTGAAAACTCAAAACGAAATGAACATAAACACCATTACCAAACAATGTAAACAATCCGCCAATGGCCCATAGAGTAGTACCGACATTCGCCGTTCTGGCGCTACGATCTTAATCTCAGTCGCCTATCATTCGGTGCTCGTTAAACAATATACTATACTATTGAAAGCAAATTTGAAGTCTCAATATTTCTGGAATTGGAGGTTTTGGTGTATTGACTTTCGTTTAATTTTATAACTATTATTGTTCACCCATTCTATACACAGTTGGTGATGTTGTCATGCGCAGAGTTTTTGTTTTACAATTGGAAAATTGATAAAGAACCTTCAATGTCAGACTAGAATATCAAAATATATAATTTCGTTATTAAACTACTACACTAGCTGTATCAAGTGGAAACCAGACCCATATTTCTGTAGGCAAAATCCTACATGAATGCAGCTTGGGAAATTCCAAGGTCTAGTGCAATGAGAGAATCTCCAGGTTTTTTAAGAACATCAAACTCTCTCACCACCTTTTCTGCTCAACTCTTCAGGCATAGTTGATTGTAAGAATTCTTCAATTACGAACAGCCCGATGCAAACAGAGAATACAAGCTAACTTATTTACGACTCACTCTGTTTTCCTTTACTATAGCAGGTTCGGCAACAGCTATTCGATATGCCTGCTCGAAGGACCATGAGAATTTTGGTTCTCACTTACAACTAGTGTATTAGTTTAATAACGAAATTATATATTTTGATATTTTTGTGTCTGACATTGAAGGTTCTTCATTCATTTCTCAATTGTTTAACAAAAATTCTGTAGTCTTCATGGAAACATCACCAACTGTGTATACAGTGTGTCCCACTTACCATGCTCACCATGGGTATCTTTTTAACGGTGAGAGATACGAGGTCGGTTAAATGACACCAAATGTGGAGTTTGTCAAGGCCAACTATAATGTGAAAAAATATTTTGATAAAATCTATTTGTTTTTGTTTTATACGCAAAAAACAGATTTTGATCATTTTCATGTCTCCTCCGTAACTTCTTTATTTATGAAAATATTCAAATAGGAATTTCACATTCTCATGGCAGTTTTTCAAAGTGATTTCGAAAAAAATATGAAATTTATACCAACTCTTCTAGAATTTGAGATATCAGCACCAACTTTAGTTTTTCAAATGTAGGTCATAGCTCACTATGACTTAGTTACAAATAACTTTTTTTTCTCTTACAGATGATATGTCGCAGCAATAGTTTTGTGTTGATAACAACGGAGTTATCGTCATTTATACAAAAACAAAAAATTATTCGGAAGCCGCCATCTTGAATTTATAAATTTCAACAAAAAAATCATGATCTCCGGCCTCAAAAACCCCCACTTACCAATTTTGAATGGAATCGGACCAAATCTTGTCCGCCATCTTGGAGTAGCCATTTTTTTTAATTTCAACAAAAACTCCGATTAACTTGAAATTTGGCAGGTGTTCATAATTTCGGTAACAATACATTATGGAATATTTGTTGAAATTGAAAAAAAATGGCTGCTCAAAGATGGCGGACAAGATTTGGTCCGATACCATTCAAAATTGGTAAGTGGGGGTTTTTGAGGCCGGAGATCATGATTTTTTTGTTTAAATTTATAAATTCAAGATGGCGGCTTCCGAATAATTTTTTGTTTTTGGATAAATGACGATAACTCCGTTGTTATCAACACAAAACTATTACTGCGACATATCATCTGTAAGAGAAAAAAAAGTTATTTGTAACTAAGTCATAGTGAGCTATGACCTACATTTGAAAAACTAAAGTTGGTGCTGATATCTCAAATTCTAGAAGAGTTGGTATAATTTTCATATTTTTTTCGAAATCACTTTGAAAAACTGCCATGAGAATGTGAAATTCCTATCTGGATATTTTCATAAATAAAGAAGTTACGGAGGAGACATGAAAATGATCAAAATCTGTTTTTTGCGTATAAAACAAAAACGAATAGATTTCATCAAAATATTTTTTCACATTATAGTTGGCCTTGACAAACTCCACATTTGGTGTCATTTAACCGACCTCGTATCTCTCACCGTTAAAAAGATATCCATGGTGAGCATGGTAAGTGGGACACACTGTATAAAGGGTGGATAGTGAATAAAAGTTATAAAATTATACAACTTTCAAAATACCTCTGACGTCAATATTGCTATTGATAACTAAATAACAAATCACAGGGTGGTTCAAAGAATTGGGGCAAATTCATGAGGAATCATTTTTAATCGATGAATGTAATGATAATAACGTTGATCCCAAAAAACAACTTACAATGAAAAGTTTCATTTTTATTTCAAAAAATCAGAAATTAATGGAATGAAACAATGCATATACCCTTGATTGATCGTTTATGAAGATTTGAAAGTTTCTTATTGTTAGTCAACGTGTATGAATCGGTAAAATTTGAAGAATTAAAGTTCTGGCAATTTTGTTTTCTGCTGAATAAGAATCAATAAAGATACAGTGGGACTGAAATAAATTAGAAGAAATGTATTGATTGAGGTCATTTATTCACCATAGTCTCTTTTTTTATTACATCAACAAACTGTGGATGATCAAGGAATAAGTTTCATGAATTTTGAAATTCAAAAATCGAACTATTTCGGAAAAGTGTATTTCGAATTTTGTTTTTTGTTGTACATTGACTAGAGTTAAAAGAAACATTTTCAGGAATGCATTTAAACATATATACACGGTATATACAGTTCATTATATACAATACTGGGTGTCTTACCAACACAAATTGCATTTTCCGAATTCGTGCAAGTAAACCTAATGTGGGCAACTTTTTATAATTGAGCACTTATTTTGCGTAATTCGATTGCTTAAAATATTCTAATAGAAAGGGAAGATCCAGCAGCATTTTCAGTGCAATTCAGAAAGTAATTATAAGCATTAATATCCAAATATAACATTGATTCTTTGAAAAAGAAACAAAAATATTCAGAAAAGCAGATGAAACTGAATTTCAGTGCCAATGAACCTAAAACTGAATAACTAGAATCATTTTAGTTTTCAAGTCTACTGAAGATGGCAAGTAATTCACCGAAACACCTTTTTAACATTATGTGTTTCACAAATTAAAATTATTTATTTCAACAAAATCAACGAAAAAAATTAACAAAAACAAAAAATATGCATGAATATTCTAGAAATTGCAATTTGGATTCATTTATCAATATAATAATAATCAACAAAACACATGTTCGTCAACAATTTCTGAATTTGAAACTTAAAAATAAACAAGGTAACAAACGCAAATATAACAGCCATACATGTGATTAATAAACATAGTTGTAAAGTTCACATCATCTTGAATAAGAACTAAATGTTTCTATAAAAACTAATGAAAAAAGAAAGATTTATCGGAACTGTGTTGACTTGATGAACACATAATGTATCTGGAATGAGGCAACGAAGTTATTCAAGAAATATAGGTCTCTAAAACTTTCTCGATCCAAGAATTAGGTACTCGTAAATATCGGCATACCAAAGATGTCTTAAAAAAAAACAGCGTGGTCCAAATTTCACCGGCGATAAATTGAAGCTGAAAGGGGGCACAAAATACACTTTTTTTTGTCGAAAAAATTCGCCCTGTATAGATATTTTTACATTTTAGTGAAAAGTGTTGCCGAAAAATAAGAATTTTTATAAAAGAAATGTACACCGAGATATTTGGATTGGTTCAGGATATCAAACAGAAAACCAATACAAAAATGTGAACAGGGTAACCCTTAGGTACATACATGGCCAGAACTGTGTAGTACAGGCAGGAATTAATTCATATGAATTAAGTCAGTGATTTAATTGGTGAATTAATTCATATGACTTTTCTCAAATAAGCCGTGAATTAATTCAAAATTTATCAAATGGGAACAATATGGCATCTGACAACTGACAAACGTGAAGCACCACACGCGGAAAACAAAATTTTCTAAGAGCCGCTTTACAGTGTACAGGGTGATTGACTATGGATTTCTCGACTTCAACAGCTGATATTTCGAAAACGCAAAAAGAAATTTGAAATTTGGAAAAAGTTACTTGAATGAGATGTCATTTCCTTCTGGAAAATGTGTTCTCTGCTTGATTTTATCATTTCATATACAGGGTATGTGAAAAAAAATTTTTTTTTCAAATGGCACCCCCTGTATATTATCGCATATTTCGAAAGAGCTATCTTTCCTGATTTTGAAAATATATACTTTCCATATATTCTATCGAGTGCTTGACGAAATATCAGCAAAATTAAATATTAATATTTGGTCCAAGTTAGCTATATGGTTGAAATAGAATGAGATGATGAATAAGTGAATTGACATTTGCTCAACATTCCAGTGACATAAGTGCGCAAAATTTCGACAATTTTTTCACGATGCCATATCCACTGGAACAAAGAAGAGATATTTTGGAGTGCTATTTTTCAGTTAATAAAAATCTTGCTGAAACACTTCATAAGTTTATGAGGATTTATCCAGGCAGGAGATAACCAAGTAAGAATTATGTAAAGTATTTGGCTGCTAAATTTGACAGAACTTCCAATTTGTAGAATATCAAGAGATTAGTGAGAAGGCAAGACAACGAAGACGAGCAACTTCTTGTAATCCAGTATTTTGTTGGGGATCCTTCACGGTCAATAAGAAATGCAGTGTGAGAGTGGTTTCAGCTATTATTTTGTTCAACATACCTTGAGGAAATATAAAATATAATTATAGGGATTTCAGAATTAGACCATGCCACAAACTCAATTATGATGATAATGAGAAGCGGATTGAATTTTGTCTTGTCATATCTGAAAGATTAAATTTAAGTAATTATAAGTGTAAGTGTTTCAGCAAGATTTTTATTAACTGAAAAATAGCACTCCAAAATATCTCTTCTTTGTTCCAGTGGATATGGCATCGTAAGAAAATTGTCGAAATTTTGCGCACTTATGTCACTGGAATGTTGGCCAACTGTCAATTCACTTATTCATCATCTCATTCTATTTCAACCATAGCTAACTTGGACCAAATATTAATATTTAATTTTGCTGATATTTCGTCAAGCCCTCAATAAAATATATGAATATTATATATCTTCGAAATCAGGAAAGATAGCTCTTTCGAAATATGCGATAATATACAGGGGGTTCCATTTGAAAAAAAAAATTTTTTTCACGAACCCTGTATATGAAATGATAAAATCAAGCAGAGAACACTTTTTCTAGAAGAAAATGACGTCTCATTTAAATAACTTTTTCCAAATTTCAAATATCTTTTTTCGTTTTCGAGATATTAGCTGTTGAAGTCGAGAAATCCATAGTCAATCACCCTGTACAATATTTCATTGCATGCAATTGATTGCTCCAATTCATATTTCCGGAAAAATAATATGTAGGCTTTTCAAGACTGAATCGGAATTACCGGCTTGCAATGTCTTTTTGTCATAGATTCTGTGTATTACTTCTCACCCAGTTTTGAGTTGGGTCAAGAGTTGGGTAGAAGAAACCATGAGAAAGGCAAGAAAAGTAAGATCCAATGTGTATCTAATGATGCGTGAAATTCCGAAAATCTAACATGTCACCACTGGAATTGCACCAGTAATACAAATTACCACAATATAAATAAAAATGTCCGGATTCATTTCTTGCAATACATCGAAAAATTGCTTTCCAAGGTGACACCAATCCGTAGGCGCGCCATGGATATTGCTGCATTTTATTGAAAATAACTGTAAAGCGCCTCTATAATGAATATTGTGAATGAGTAATATAATTTGCATAAACATCATTTTTCATTCAATCAATAGTCTCAGTTTATATTGCAAAAATTGCATATTTTAAGTATTTTATTGTCACGCTTCAAGATTTTTGACGGAAATAAAAACTTAGTTTTTTCGATGTTCTTGTATTTTGTTCAAGTAAATAGAATTTGATTTGTTCTCAAATGAATTAATTCAAAAAAGTCCGAATTAATACAAAAAGTCAGACTTTTTTGACTTTTTTTAAAACTCATGACTTATTACAACCCTGAGTACAGGTGAAAATAATACTGAAAGTTCAATTATTTTCGTTCCCTTTTCTAAGATATTTGCCTTGAAAGTGAAACTCGGCCTTTTCTGTTGATTATTTTTGTAAACTTATAGAACATCCTGTCTATAACTCAATAATTCATAGATAGAAGAGTCTTTCTAGTTTCTTTTTCAGATTCCGAATTTTTACTGAAGAAATTTGGATCACCCTGTAAAAGTGGTTCAAATATAAAATCGCAAGTTCCAATAAAAGAGAAAAATTATCATCATTTTACAGAAATGTATGTGCAGGATGATCCATCATAAATTCCTCTCCTGTAAAAAAATTTTTACAAAGAGATTTTTGAAAAAGTCAAAAGTCATTTGGTGGGATTTTTCTCAACAATTATTCTCATAGTGTACTAATGAAAACACTGAACACAAGAAATAACCAACTGGTTTTGCAACCTCAAATATCTTCATGAAATAAAGTTACAAGAGGGAAATTTATATGTTGAATCCCCTGCATGTTCTCACTGCTTTATAGAGCATATGTACAGAACTGTTCAAGTAAAAGGAATATGTCTACTACGAATCATGCTAATATTAGCATGATATATATATATATATATATATATATATATATATACCCCGCGGTCCGAATTGGTTTGAATGTTTTGAGGGCTATATCATTATAGACTTTGACCCGTGAATAATTTTTTAGTGGTTTTTTTTCATAGGTGTCTCGGGGGGGTCACTGGGAGGTAAATTCAAAATGGCGACCAAATCAAGCTTTTGCGTATGTTTTTTTTTTTGTTAAAAAACGGTTTTTCTTGAATAACTCGGCCATTTTTTGATTCTACAGAAAAAGTTTGTGGACAAAAATTGTAGTAAATTTGGTTCTCTACAAGTTTAGTCCTCACAATTTTTCTGATACAATCGATATTTTGTAAATTAAACCTGAAAAAAGCGACAAATTCGAAATATTTTCATTATCATTTTCATTTTATTGTATACAACTTTCGCCCTATTCGTTGCACCTGCAGAATTTAAAGAGGAGATATTGCGAATATTTCTGAATGGGTACATATTTTCTGGTTAAATTCCGAAAATATCGATTTTCGGAAAAACAGGTAGAGACTAAATTTGTCCAAAATTTGATTCTCTACAAGTTTGTTTCTGTTCATTTATGCCGTAAAGTTGAAAATAAACGAGATAATGAAAATATTTCGAATTTGTCGCTTTTTTCAGGTTTAATTTACAAAATATCGATCCTATCAGAAAAATTGTGGGGACCAAACTTGTAGGAAACCAAATTTACTACAATTTTTGTCCCCAAACTTTTTCTGTAGAATCAAAAATGGCCGAGTTATTCAAGAAAAACCGTTTTTTAACAAAAAAACAGTTTTCGAACATACGCAAAAGCTTGATTTGGTCGCCATTTTGAATTTACACTCCCAGTGACCCCCCCGAGACACCTATGAAAAAAAAACACTAATTATTCACGGGTAAGGTCCGTTATTTGGATATAATGACTGGACTATGATTCGGGCCCAATTTTGAGCGCGTTTATGAAACTCGTTACATAACCTCAAATGAAAATTTATTTCTTGGCCAACAATGAATCATAGTCGATAGCGTTATCGAAATAATATTTCCTCGTCAAGTACGGATGATGAGGACGGTAAATGCAGCAGTTGTATAATATAACGCCTTTGTTCGATTTCATACATATAGGGATTGAGAATTTTGTTGGCCCAGTATTCAGTGCAACAGCACTTATATCGGGACTTTTTCTTCTTCTCTTCTTCTTTTGGGTTTATTGGATTTCTGTCTCCTTTCGGAAACAATTTCTCCAGATCAGGTAATTAAATTTTTTCGAGACTAATATATGGTTATGTAATAATTATTATCACTCGACTCGAGCACTAAAGACACCGTAGTCCGTCACCATGCCCGGAAGCCGAGTTCATCAATGTCAAAGATTCTATCGTATGTGCTCATGCTGAGCACATTTGATTTCAAGTATGGCCCCTTTATCCGGTGAATCCGTCACCATCCGGCCTCTATACCGGCGTAGAGATAAAAGGGCTTGATAATTTTCACACACACTCATTAAACTTCACAATAAATATTGGATTTTAATCCAGATCAGGTAATTAAAAAAATTTTAGACTTGCGCCATGTGTCTCCTTCCATGGTCAAAAGGCGATTCCCTCGGGGCTTTTTCCCGCATGTTTAGACCGCTCCACCTCTAAACTGTAAGTACTCTGAGCGCGAGGAGTGACGAAATCCATGACGTCATAATGACTCGCGGTGAATATTTACAAGCGATTCGATTACCATTCGGACCGCGGTGATAATCTCACATTTTTCTTCTTCCAAGGCTGACGCGAAAATGAACATAGTGTTATTATATGGTCTGCACCAAATGTCCCTCTGCAATGGCTGAAAATTCCCACTTTTCTGTCAAAAATCCCTCCCATCATTGAGCGGCAAAGTTGAATAGATAAACGTTCATCTTTAGATTTTGTTTCCACTCCAGATTTTTTGATCAAGTAGTGACATTTCGGGGCAAATCCATAAAAAATCATCTGATTTGTCCAGCAATTACTCATATATCGAATTAATAATCTATTGCAATTTATAAAAAAGTGAATTTGAATTTGAAACATAGCCATGAACACTTTTTGATGGGCAAGCTATCACCTGGTTTTTCAGATGGGTGAAAGTCGAACCCCCCTCTCATGGGCTCGTAGACTATTTCTTTTTGGTGAACAGCTCTGTAGCTAAATAAATAAAAAATAACCCGAAAAATGGTGTACTTGATACGAGTCCTTAGAATACTGATTCAGCAGATCTGGAAAGATGGATTGGATGAGACGGGCTGCGTGCTAATCGTTTTTTAGGCAACTTGTCCAGGCTGTTCAACAACCTTATGAAATCGGGCCTGGCGCTGGGGTCATATGACCAACACAGCATCAGTATATCCTGAAAAAATTGCAACAAATCTATGGTAAACAAGGAACACATTTTACATCAACTTCAGTTATCTAATTTTGACATGTAATTTCACACTTTTCAAAACTGACGAGAGATTTGAAACGCCTCACTTTACGTAACCGGTTCTGTGTAGTAAAATATTACATAACATAACCGCAAAATCCCTTCTTCACACAAAATGACGCATTTCCGAACTGGTTACGTAAATATTTATTCTTGTTTCTATTATTGAAACAATGTAAGTAAGCAGAGTGAAAAACTGAAACTCATTTATACATATTTTAGATGACGAAAGAAAAACTATCTCGGCGGTAATGCCATGCAGAGTATTGTATTATTTCATTTCAAAATCTACGAAATGATTCCTATAAGAGAATGGGGAAGTTTCCACATTTTTATTTCTCCGTGAATTTCATGATTCATTCATGACACCATTCTGCTGACTTCATTGGTGATCTACCATGTTCACACAGAGCTAATACGCGATTTTGCATAGCACGACTGCGACGCTGCCGTGTCATGTCACGAATAGGGTTATTTTTCTCAATTTCATTTAAATTCATAAAGGGTTCGAAGTCATTGAACGGTCACGTCTTTGTTTATTAATTCCAAAATTTCCGAATCGTGAATGAACTTTTTTCCATAGTAGTTGAACATAATTACAGGCGTGACATTGACTTCAACCTTCAACGAACCTGGACTATTTAAAAAGACGTAAGGAAGCGGGTTCGACAGACAGGTCGAGTGCCAGTTCTAGTCAGGAAAGTTTAAGTTCTATCAATTATTGTAAGTTCGAAAAAGTTGTCACTGTGCGCGAACCTTTGGAGTTCGGGAAGAACAGAAGATGCCCTTCCTCACATCAATATTGGTTCATTTGTACATATAGGGTAAGTTGAGTTTTTATTTGATTGTTATTCATTTCCAAGAATAAATGTGTGTATATGTGTTTTTTGAAAACCCACAACTTAGGCAACCCTCGCCTAGAGTTTGTAACAATATGTTTCGGTATTAAGAAATTCTGTATAAGTAGGTATTGATTGCCAATTTAATATTGGCTACTTGATATTTGTACTCTGATTTTCTTATTAGTCAAAAAGTATTCATAGATGCCTGATGAAATGACTTATCCGGACGAAACAAATATATATTTCAATGATATCTAGAATACATCCATTACTCAGAGTTGAATCTTGAAATTGATAGAATCAGAATAAAATTCTAGCCTGAAGGGATCCTGAGTTGATTTTCATTGCTTCCAAGAAATTAATAAATTATACCTGACAACCGCGCACAAAACCAGTTTTACACCAGACCATGCTGATAGCTGCAAATTTATTGAGGTTATGTTTCCACTGTTTATTGTTGTTTACGTTTTTTTACATTCTTCTTAATTCACGGTCTAGTATTATATATGCGCTGTTTTCTTTGTATTCACACTAGTTGATTGATCATGTTGCTGTGATTCAAGTTGAATATCATCTCTATGGACTAATTAGTTCGTCAGAATTGTAATATTCTCGGATATCACTTTATAGTAAGCAACGAGCTCTACATTTTTCAGGACATACTTGTGATCATTAAGAGTAGCCTTCTGAATAGGTAAAATTTGTTTTTTTTTGTATGTGATTGTGATTTGTATATCACAGCCAAAGTTATTATACCCATGTTCACACTAGATTCACCGTTTACGTCATCGTTTTCCACCAAAATATTTCTTGCTCTAGCTTGAAAATACAAATGATCTGATTCATTTCAATTATCATTACGGATTGAAGAAGCATAATCCTATTCAGTGTGAAAGTTATTTGATGAAAATTCATCCAAAGGAAACTTCCCCATTGTCGAATTGTGTTTGAATTGTAGCTAAATATCACTCAACCACCTACAAACCGGTTTTTAGGCCCGAAGATCACTATTGCCGTATCAACTGTAATTTTCTCTGAAAATGTCTATGCAAAATGTGTTTTACCTAAACGAAAACTATTAGTCACATCTCTAATGCAAATTTCATTCCTTGCGAAGAACTTTCAGGCAAGTTTTTTCGAACATTTGATACATGATGTTTTATTACCGAAGTATTTTGATCAACTATCCGAAATTCTACATCACTTGCACCCAAAAAATATATAAATTCAAGAATCAACTTCAATAAATTAGATATATTCATAATCCACTCGATGATTTGAAGTTATAAGAATCGCACTGGCGCCCGAGCACGTTCCTGAAAATTCGAACTCTGAGCGAGCAAGTTATCTAGCCAGTGAAAATAATGTCTCCACATGAGTTAGAATTTCTACTGGAAAACTCTTTCAGTATTTCCAAACGTATGACAAATTCATGATTTCTGATTGGTAGCCTTTATCGATCAAAATCTTACCTTAACATCACGAGACGCTTGTAGATTGGCAAGTGGCTGTTTCATACCCTTCCCGACTTGCCAAATAACAGCTTCTGGGGGTTGTCCTTTGAACGGCCATTCACCACATAACAATTCATACCACACCGTCCTAGAAAAATGTTGTTATTGTTATTATAAAACTGGTTTTCCTCCTGCCACCAAAGATATATTTGGCTGAATGAGAAAATAACTTTGATATAATGTGTATGTAATAATTATGATAGTTACCCGAAGGCGTAAACATCTGAAGCTTTACTGAAAGGCAATTCTTCGTCGTGCGGTTGATGAGCATGTAAACTTCGCATTATTTCCGGGGAGAGATAGCACAGCCAACCTGGAGGAATGCCCAAACTATCCGACTTCCTAAAAACAGCAAATTATTATTAATATTAATTATTAAGCAACAAATTACCAGATGATATAAAAAATTGCAGAAATACAATAAAATTCAAACACCAACTTAAAAAATTTATCATTTCTGAACGAAATAGATGATTTTTTTTTCTCAACTTTTGATTCATATTCAAATTGATTTTTGCTCACCAATATGAAATGATTTGTCAAAACTTAATACTTAATGTTTTCAAATATTATATTATTTATTAGTTTATCATAATTGTATAGTTTTAGGTATTATTGTTAACTATACTTCCTTATACCAGAACTTGATTCTGACTTGAAGTAACATTTTCAATAAATAAATAAATAAATAAATAATGTTAAGAACTTGTTCCACAAACAAAAAAAATGGAAAATAATGTTGAAATGACATGAAAACAAGATGGCGAACCAAAAGAAATAAGGTTGGTTCGGCATCTTAATCTCATAATTTGTGTTTTAATAAAAATTTGGCTTTTCCACTTTTCACTCAATCAATTACCAATCAATTGATATTGTAATACTTTTATAATAATCACCATTGTTCTTCTGTACTTCTGAAATGTTAACTAATTCAAGGTAGCATTTACAACTTTGTGATTTTCTTCTTGGTATGTTGAAATTAAGCTTGGGTTATCTATTGTAGATACACTATGATGTGTGTATTAACATGAGGAGACTGTAAGTCATTACCAAACAACATTAGGATAGTTTGTTTTTATGTCACATGAAATATTGATTGCAGAAATTCGATATAACGAAAAGGAAATGTAATCTTACCTATTCCCAAAGCATAACTTCGTTACACTAAAAAGCCCGAAGTCTGTGATTACCACTTTTCCATTTTCCACAAAAATATTTTTGCTCTTCAAATCTTTATGTATGATTCCTTTGGCATGTAAGTATCCCATACCCTGAAAAAAGTAAGCAGGAGTTAATATAATAATATGTTAATCATGCATTTTGTAACGCTTTCAACTTTCTATGGAAAATTGAAAAGTCACTGCACCGTTAGCGTTGTTGTCTAGAGAGCATGGAGGTCGGGGTTAACAATTTATTATGTAATTTATTTAAATTCATAAGTTTCCAAAAAAAAAAAAAAAAGAAGAGGAAAACTTACCCAGGCGCCACTTGACTTGAAGTACTTAGGATATTTGGCCTTGTCCAAGTCAAGAAAACAAGATCCATTTAAATTTGAAAAGTTCTTCACAATCAAAAAAAATATATATATATTTAAATTTTCATAATGTCAAACCAACGTCAATCAACTCAGGAAGAGGGGGAATGTATAGAAATTATATTCACCCAGATATTTACATATATTTACCAAAAAAAAAAACAATCAATTAACAAGTACCTATCTGACCTGAAGCCTTGTTGAACCGACAAGATCACCCTGTATATCACACACTGAAATTTAGCTGAATAATATGTGGTGATATTCACACATTTATACTACCTTCTCACCATGGTAACTCACCTGAGTAAATCATAATTGACAAGTTAAAGAATATTGTCAACAATCATAAGTAATGTTGTGTATGAAATATTATTCTCAAAATAACATTGAGGATGATGATCATGGCATTCGCACAGTACTGAGCGAAGGCTGCACAGCTTGAGAGTAAATTCACATTTTACAGTCTAGGAGTTAAAGTTAATAATATGGTTCCAGGTGAGGCAAATGTGAAAGCTAAGTTATGTAAAAGAAAATGACAACAAAATATCGTTAAAAGGTTATATCTGGCCTTGTTATTGGTGATCCATTCCCATTCCAGAATTCATCAGTCCAGACAGCTCCACAGGTTCAGTTCAGCAAGAATGAAAAATAACTTCTATCCTGGGTACAAAATTAACAGGACTCTTCCATGAGTCAACTTCTCATTGAGAAGCTGCAGGGCATTACTACCACCCGGGATGGAAATACTGGCAACAGCTTGGGGTTGATAATATTGCCCTTATAGTTTCCCAGCAAAAAACTACATCTACAAGTAACCAGGGCACTGGCAACTGTTTAAAAATAGCTTGGACATAGTCCCACCTAAAACCCTAAATAACAAAAATGTTATTTCTCTGACATTCATGCAGAGAATGTTTACTTACCCCTTACAGAGGGTTTCATACAAAAATGGACAGAAAAACATCATATTGTTCCCCATATGATGTGAAATTAGGAAATTTGGGTTCACCAACTGCAAATAATGGAAAAGATATTCATGAAGAGATTTTATGGAAATTTGAGTGGAAAAGAATAGACTTACGATTCACAAAAAAAACCCCGGCACGTGTTTGAAGTTTCTGGATGCCTGGAGCACTGGAAGTTTCACACTCGGTTTATGATCACCTCATATAATGGCTGGAGACAAGTCCACAAATCAGGAGAAACTGTTCATGGGAAAAACAGGCACTAATCCCGAAAATATCGGTTCGAAGCCTTGTGTAGTTTCACCACAAGCTCCTGGAAGCCTATAGAAGCCAATCGAACTCCATCGAAATCAATCGAAGCTTTCCCCCTTCACCCCGAAACCTGTGAGGAAGCTGTTTACAGACATCACTGTCAACGCGATGGTCGTGCCATCTATGAATCAGATTCTTTCCACTCATTTTCCTAGGATTTGGAAATACTCCGGAAAATAACAACTAGTGCTAGTGAAAAACGAAACGGAAGATGCTTTCTGAATCCTGGAATACAGGTGATACTAACAACAGAGACTGGACACAGAAAAATACTGATTTTATCCCACTGAATTTGGTAAGTACAACAGCTGAATATTGATATTTTCTAATGGTTTATTTCAGGTACTTTATAACAGACCAGGCTGACAGTTTGAAATCTCCAATCAGGAATAGATGGAAATTGACAGATCCACCAAGAGATTCACCTCAAACATACTAATTTGGAAGAAAATTGAGAATTTCATTTCCTAACCTGTAATTGAGACTATGATGATACTTTCTCAAATTCACAATACATTTGTTGCAAAACATGTTCAGGTAAATTATATAATTATTATTTGTATTCTTGAAGTTTAATAAACAATTGAAAACATGATTTTTGTCTAATTCCTTGATTTTTTCTCTGAGTTCGACTAGCGCCATCACTGAGCGAATAGCGAAACTAAGAGTTAGGTCTAGCTGTAATATAAAGTACTAGTCTGCACTACGAAATGTATCGATTCCTGCTTTCTATGAGTGTAGGTGTGTTCCAAAGTTGAAAGTAGTGTACGTTAGAGGGCACTGGGTGCTCTGAGCATTTGCGAATGTTACACCACCCCCTTCCAATAAAGAAAAAAAGGTCATGCAATGACATTTTTTTTTTCAAGTATCTACTTCATGATTATCATAAATAAATAAACCACTTCTTGCAAATGCGAAACGGTAACTTCGCGTACCATACGTCCTTGAAAGGATACTAATCAGGGAAAGTCATAATAAGTAAAAAGTCATAATAAGTGGAGGTCATAATCGGTAAGGGTCAATTTTGAGAAAAGTCTTAACGCAAAGCATTTCGAAATGGGTGAACAAAGTCATCTTATTCTAATTTAGAATAGACACAATGTACGATTACCTAGGATAATATGTACAAAAAAAAATTTCGAGAATACTATATATATACAAAAGTATCTCGCGAGTACAATATACAAAAGTGCTTTATTGAATACACTATCTCATGGTGGCCAACCATTAGTATGAAAAACTGAATTAGTGCACTAAAAAAAAATATATTAAAGAAAAATTGTTATATCTGAATTATCAACATTACTGCAGCAGTAGTAACACACAACACGTGCAGTTTCACCAGTGTGAGTATACCTTACCCCACTGAAATGTCTTCATTGGAACCCATGTAAGGCTTTAAATCCTTCACGTGCCAGTCACCTCCCGGTGAACCATTGGCGTTTCTCAATGTATATACAAGACGTGAAACTTTCTTTACAATCGTACAGAGTACGTATTTAGGCGCAAGTTTGGCAGTAAATTTGGAAGCGGCGTCGGAAAGGACTTTGTTTCTCCTCCAGACCTTCTCGCCTACTACGAACGAGTGATCTCTCCGACGAAGGTTATACTTGGAAGCATTCTTCTGATAAGAACGATGCAAATTTTGACGAACTTCTTCAAAAACGTCTCTCAAAGATTTAAGCTCAGCTGCATAGGAATTTCTATCACCTGGTAATATTTCCAAGTCATCAGTTGACTGTACTTCGCCATAGTAATTTCCTGACAAAGGAACGTGTCGAGCAAAATTCAGAAAGCACGGTGAATGACCTGTTACTTCGTGACGGGACGTGTTAATAGCATGTTGAATTTGTGGCAACTGTAGGTCCCAATCCTTATGTTCCTCAACAAAACATCTAATCGCGGTTCCTATTGTTTTGTTCATCCGCTCAACAAAATTCACTTGAGGATGGTATCTGGCGTTAAACCATATCTTTTGCACTTGATATTTTTGACATAAGTTCTTGAAAATCGTACCAGCGAACTGCGTGCCGTTGTCAACTATGAAAAATTGTGGGACTCCAAAAACCAAAAACACATTGTTCTCAATGAATTTAACAATGTTTTGTGCCGTAGCTTTACGCATTGGAAAAGTCAGGGTGTATTTGCTAAACCAGTCACCGACTACCAGAAGATAGGAATTACCTCGGCTTGAACGTGGGAAAGGACCCATGATATCCGCAGCAATCACTTGCCAGGGAAAATCAACTGATTTCTCAGAACCCATCAACCCTAGGCGTCCTGAAAGTGATATCTTCTGAGAAGCACATACTTTGCACTTACGTACATACTTTAGAACGTCTTGGCGCATCTTGGGCCAGTAATGCAATTCTTGCAATCGAGCTAACGTTTTGAAAAATCCGAAGTGACCACTAGTCACAGTGTCATGTAATGACTTTATAACCTGTTTTCTATGAGGCTTAGGTACCAAAAGTTTCCACTCTTTTATATTTGAATGTAAAGGTAATGAACTAGGAATAAATTTATACAGTTTTTCGCCCTCTACTTTCCATTGAGGAAAAAGTTCTGGACTTTCTGAAACTTTAAATTTCAACGAATCATACCAAGGGTCTGGCGTATCGAAATCAACGTCCAAATTAGCTACCTGATCCGAATCGTGAGGAATTCGCGACAATGCGTCTGGTACGACATTTGCAGAACCTTTCCGGTGTTTCAAATCGAAGGAATATTGTCGTAACTTGACCGACCATCTGGCAAGTTTTCCTGTGGGATTTTTCATGTTATTCAACCATAACAGAGAATAGTGGTCTGTTATTATGGTGAAGTGAGTACCTTCTACGTATGAGCGGAATTTCTCTATACAGAAAATAACAGCCATGAGTTCTCTCTGAGTGACAGTCCAGTTTCGTTCGGTTTTTGTAAGGGACCTACTGGCATACGCAATAACCCTTTCATTACCGTCAAAATCCTGCGTTAAAATTCCTCCCACACCCGTATCACTTGCGTCACATTGTATCGTGAACGACCTAGAAAAATCAGGACTACTAAGGATCGGAGCTGAAACTAAAGCCTCCTTGATACGAATGAATGATGATTCTGCTTCATCATTCCACGAAATGGTTTGACTTTTCTTCTTACCAGTTAATAAAGCGTTTATAGGTGAAATTAGAGTAGAAAAATTGTTAACGAAGCGTCGATACCACGAGCACAATCCTATGAATCGTTTAACTTCAGTAGCTGTAGTTGGTCGGGGATAGTTCACCATTGTAGAAACTTTTTCGGGATCTGTCCGAATTCCGCGTTCGTCGATGACAAAACCGAGATATTTGAGAGAAGGTTTGAGAAATTCACATTTCTTCAAATTCACGGTCAACCCGGCGTCTTCTAAACATTGCCTGACTTCATTCAAAATTTTAAGATGTTCTTCTAAAGTTGAGGATATGACAATAATGTCATC